TCACTAGCTGGATATTTTGAGGATTGTGTTTGGGTGTTCTGCATCAAACATCAGTTATGTTCTCTCCCAGCCAATGTGTGTAAGTGAACAGCTGCCTTCACAGGTCAGAGATTAACAAACACTGCTACACAAATGCACTTATTAACTCTGGATAACACACACATTTGTTTAAAATGAATTCTCGGGTGTTCTTGCAAAGAAGTTTTATGGCTGTATGAAAAGCAGCTATAAAATGAGATTTGGCTCCTTGGTAGGTGGCATGTTACAATTTTTTAAGAAACATTATTCTTCCCATATAAATGCACAACAGATGTAACATTCGACCTAAGCAATAAGATTTATTACTGTTTTTAAAGCAAATTCAGCACAGCTTAAGAGAACACTGTACAGAATTCTTTAAGCTAGGAAGAGGTTCTTCTTGTCATCAATGCATGCTTTGCATTTGTCAGTTCTTGCCTTCAAAGCCAACCCACAGTTTAGTATTTCAGGCTTTTTACAAAGGTGATGATCCTGCAATTCAATCTGCTAATGTAGCACATAGCAGGCTCCCTCCAGTCACAGCAGTCCTGGGCTCATCTCCTTGCTTTTAGTATCAAAAGAAATGTGCATGGCCTCTTTGGTCTCTTTTTGAGCCCCCAAAACATTTCATGTGATTTATGTTAGGCGTTATTCAACAGCACATGCAATCAAAAGTAAGTGTCACACATTGTTTGGCAATGAAAAATAAACATTACAGCTGTGATCAAAGAACATGTCTTGCTTATATTGTCTTACATTAATTTCTTTACCTCATGCACTTTTGTATAAATAGTGACGGTTTCATATTTTCTTCAGAAGCCACAGTTCTTCTGTTTTCTAAAAATAACCTGCTTATGCATAATCTTCTCTTTTCAAAGCACTGTTCTTCCTTTTGTTAAGTTCATTTCCAAGATCTCTGTGCATAAAAAGTGGCGAAAGATGGATATGTGCAACTTCGCTAACAAACATGTTGAAAATACCTAAAAATGAGGAACAGTTCCTGGATAAATACCTTCAATGGTAAACAGTTCTGTGAGAATGAATAGGCTTCAATGTTATGCAGTAATTTTACATTTTGTATAAGGGCACGAAACATGAAAATTAAAACATACCTGAGAATAATATTAAAATCTCATTTCAAGAAAATTTTTGTTGCTCCACAGCTTTAACTATCAAGTAGTTTCACAGTTTTTGCATTTCACTTCATGTAACATAATCCAGGTGGTCCAGCAGGCAGCCCCTGACCGACACTCTCTCAGGTGAATCCTGCAGCTGACACTGCTGTATTCACATTTGAGAAATCCATGTATCTGGAACTTCAACTCCTACCCCACCATGAACAGAGCCAAACTCTCAAACTGTGAACCTCTATACAGCCTACAAAGAGAATTCTAGCATTAATATACCTCTTCCACCTCATTTTTCTGTTATGAACTACTTGTAATCAAAATTGGTTTCTGATCTCAAGTTCAAAGCACTGCACAAAATTTAGGGCTGCTCAAGCACATTCTCTTCCCAAAGGCAGGCATGGGAAAAAGTTCTTGGATGCTGCTCTAGAAGACCTAGGCAACATAGGGAATGCTGCAGATCTCAGATCATATCAAAAGCATCTCCTCAATTTAGATGAATCCTTTCCCAATTCATCACAACCACATATGCCTGCAGATTCTCTCTGAATTGGTGTTCTCCAAAACTCTTCTAGTCCAAGAGCAGTTCATCTGCCAGCTCCCTAGACAAAGAGCACTTTCAGTAGCCCTTTAGGAGGTATGCTGATCATCTTTAAGAAAGATTGTAATCCCACTGAGTGTCTCATGTTGGTGATTGCATATCAGTCAGGACAAGCAGTTCCCAGACTTTTTAAAGGGATGCATCTGATTTCTGGCAGAGAAAAATCACATTAAGTCTTCACCTCTCATGCATGGCTGTCAGTCAGGGTACTGACATCCATACAGATGATGCATATTGGATTTGAAGAGTACCTGTGTGTATTTGCAGGGAGCATCAGAAATAGATCCACAGGCCAGGAAAGTTTCGGCCTGTCCAGTGCCCAAGCACTGCTTTCATTTTCTTTCCTTTTTCACTGGTTTTCCCTGATTAGTTTAACAAAACTAGTAGCAGTGGAAGAGGTGTCCAAAGCAAGCAGCTTGGCCTCCTCCCACATCCCCTTTATGACATGGTTTTATGCTGAGACTTTTTGGTATCTGGAAGAGTGTCTGGCTTCCTTAAACACAATGGGAACATGCACCTCTACTGAATCCCACCCACCTGGGTTAAAACCTGATATCCCACAGAAAAGAATGCTATTTTCACTCCTAAGATCAAGAAGTTCCTAGCCATGCCTGCTGTATGCTTTTCTGCAGTGAGGGAAAATCAATTCTCTGCCTACCTGCAGAGACAGCCTCTTGGACTTGAAGAATGTCCTCAATCAGAGACAGAAATCCTTGAGGAACTGACCACCAGACTGCCAAATATTAACAAAAGATTGACTGGGGCACATCTCAGGATGAGGACTGGGTATTCCATTACATAGTGCATTTTTGCCTATCCTTTGATCAAATTTCAGTCCAAGGTATAATTTCAAAGTGCCCATATTAAGGAGTAAATCACAGAAAGTCTCATCAAACCACAGGCACAAGTGAGGGGTTTTTGAAGTTCTGTATCATCTGTGTATGTCAAATGAGGAAACTGTTCTACAGCAAGAAATGCAACTGATAAATTGCATTGCTTCAAGAAAAAGATTTTATAAAAATTGCTTAAGGTTTACCTTTTCAGGTCTTTTGAAAACTCCCTAGAATGTTCAATAACATTGTGGCTGACAAAAGAAGAAAAGGAGGAAAGAAAAAGACAGGAAAGCATTTTGGAAACAGGACAGTTAATCATTCATGTTGTCTACAATTCCTTTGGCTCAAGACAATCTCAAGACAGACTCTGGCTTTGTAGTAAGAAAAAAAATATCTCTACTGTCCTACCATGTATGATGGAATCCAGAGCCACAAACTGCCAGGACTTCACAGGCAAAGGGCATGTCCTAAAGCAGAGCATTTCATGGCTCCCTCTCATCCCACAGGCAGCCTTTTTCCCTAAAGGAAAGCATCTTACAATATCATTTTGTGTGACATTCTTTAAATATTTTGACTTAACACTCCCAAAGTACATTCATTTCAGTCAGATTGTGCACATGTGGGTTTTGGGGGATTGTTGAGGTTTGGGGTTTTCCAACCTTTTCCTCAGCTTGATATTCTGCACTCTTCCAGGAGCTGACCATTGTGATTAAAGATTCTGCCTTGTAATGAAAGCAAGCAATGTACTTCAATGCTGAAAGAGAGACAGCAAAAAGAGGCAGCCAAAACATGTGGTGATTCTTATTTTCTTTTCACAAGTGACAAAACAGCATATGCAGTTCAACACCCAGGATCAGTTAATTTTATCTGGAAAAGCAGCTTATGTAAGTTCCCATTTGCTATGATTACAACCCCCATAACACTAATTTCCTATGTAAAGCCACTGTGGTGCCCACACAGATCATCCTTACACTTTGGGATTATGGGCACGGGGCAACATAAGTCACCAGTTATCAGCCTTTGTTTTATTTTGCAGTACATTCATGATGCTCTATCCTTCCAATGGCAAATACATCATGCTTGCTTGGCAGTGCTGGTATCTGATATTCCACAATTACCTCAGTTCAAAGTGAGACAGTAAATGCACATTTGTGTTACTCTCCCTTTAATGTAGTACAAAGCTGGACACAGCTCAGAAAGAAACACCTAAAATTCATTACCTATTTATGAGCATATACAAATGGGTATTTATCATGTTAAAAGAGAACCATGTGTTAAAATGAAGGCCAGAGCCCAGTAAATCTTTTTGGATGAAAACCCTTTTCAAAAAAAAGGAATAAAATCATTAACATTTGCTTTTGCCAGTAGAAACATTTGCTCATGAATCTTCTGGGAAGGGAAAGGCATTTAACCTTTTTACATGCCATTCCCTCAGACATCTCTGACCCCAATGCAAAATAGACAGCAAAGATTCCCAACTCCACAATGCTGATTAAACTCTTGTATGAAACATCTGGATGAAATTTTCTTGGCAGCTGATTTGAAAAGTATACAAGAAGCAGAACTAGGGAGCAGCCATAGTTCAGCTTAGTGACACCAAGATGATGCTATGCAAAAGCAGATTTTACCTTGAACACATCAACTCCTAAATATAAGCCTGTGACAGTGCAACCAACCTCATTAGCAGAAGAAAAATAAATCCATCTTCTACTATGCACACCAGTATAGAGAAGGCAAATGGGCTTTGAAAGAAACCCAACTTGACAATCTTGCTTCTTTTAATAAAATAATAAAGGGCTTTAACAGTTTACCTGCCTAATACCTAACTTCAATTGACAGGTAAGAGAGAAGTCACCAGTGCCCTTAACTTCCAAAAACTATTTCTTACATTTGTGAATGATTTCAAAACTTCTGTGGTTTCTGATGAACTCCCCAACAAACTGGATGTATTGCTTTCCTACTCACTGTCTCAGTCAGTACACCCCCAGGCCTAAATTAGGAAGTGACCTGTAATTTTCATAACCTGACATTCAAAATAAAGGATATCTTGGCCCTCTTCTGCCTGACCAGTGCAGCTCAAGAGACTGTTCTCTTTTAGAACTACAGACTCTGGAATTCTCACAATTTCCACATGTACAACAGGCCTAAAACCAAGACATTTTCACTGTTGCTATTAACTAAGCAGCATCAGTGAAAAACCTACATGAATCAGGCCAACTTTACTCTGTAGCTGCTGGGGAAAGGAAGGCAAAAAAAAGAAAGAGGAAGCAGCAGCACAGAAACAGCTTTAGAATCTGACAAAAAGGTGCAGGAAACAGGAAAGTGTAGGGAACATTCTGCCCCACAGCTGCCAGGCCAGGAAAATTCCAGAAGGAACGGGCAGAGATCCTCTGGCCTTTTCCAGAAGCCAAGGCACAGAGTTATCAGACTCACCCAGAATAGCAAAATGAAAGCTTCAGCACTGCACAGAGCCAGCAGTCTAATTTACTGTAGTTGAAGAAAATTTGATGTGGTGTGGGAAAGGCTTTGACTTTTTATTTGGGACACTGCTGTAAGAAACAGATTATTAGTATGTGTTTAAAACTGATTGGTGAATATTTTTAAATCATAAAGAAATTAACACAGAGACAAAATCTGGTCTAAACATTTTATCTCCAATCCAAAGTTCACATTCTAAAGCACCCCTATTGCTTTTTGCTACAGCACTGTGATCCCAGTAGAGCTAAAGGAGGGGCACCTATTCAAATTAGTACTGCTATCACTTCCTCTCTAAATGAACTTCTCCACAAACACCTTGTCCTATAGAACTCTTTAGGTTGGAAAAGACCTCTAAGGTCATCAAGTACAACTGTTAACTCCATATTCACTGCAAAACCCTGCCCCTAAGTGCCACATCTATGTGTTGCTTAAACACTTCCAGGGATGTTGATTCTTCCCACTTCCCTGGGCAACCTGTCCCAATGTGTGACCACTCTTCCCATGAGGAAATTTTTCCTAATACCTAGTCTAAACCTCCAGTGGTGAAAACAGTCTTCAAAACTCAGGAAAAAAATCTGTCAGAAGAAATTTTAGCATGGAATAAGAATAACCAACTGTAATGCAGACCAGAAATACAATCACAAAGTGTAACAGTAAGAAGTAAGTTTGAAGCTGTTCTTCTTCTACCAAAATAAATAAAATATTGCAAATATTTTGTACCACATTATTCAGTATTACCACTGGAATGGTAATGAAAGAAAAAACCAGAAGAGATTATCCCATGTATAATCCAATATTCATCAATAATAGCAGAAATAAGCTGTCATGTAGAACATCTACATGAGAGGGCCACACCATTTGTCCAGGCAGGAGCTAATATTGATGTAGATTTAGGGTAGGCACCTGCCAGGCAAGCCACTGTAACTCAAGCAAATTGAATTCATGGCTAAGAGAAATAATTTAAGACTACTGCATCAAGGGAAAATCTGCCATTTTGTTAAGACCCTTTGACACAACCAGTGTTTGCTCTGCAACTCCAACAGACACCTCCCTCTACACATTTGGTCTGCACCAAATAGGGAAGGTGTGCTAATATTGTGAATCCAGCAATTGGTATGCAACCAACAAACAATTAAACCGAGCAGTAAAAAGCAGGTGATTGGAAAACATGGAACCAAGGCTTACAGTGTATCAAGAAATGTCCTTACACTTAAAAAATTATAATGCACTCCAAAATCCATTTGTTCAGGCAATCCATGTACAACAGAAGGCACTGTTATCCATATGAATCTATCAATTCTGCACAGCAAAAACCTGAGAAGTGCAACTCAATTAGATGCAGCCTGGCCCCTCCCGGTCATCCAGGTTCCTTGAGGACGAACATTTCCTTTCAGTCCATCAAATTATAAAAACACCACAAGAATTTGTACATTACAGTAGCTGGTTAGAAAGAGCATTCTGGTGGGGGAAGCACACTGCTTTTTCCCAGAAAACCTTCAGCAGCATTAAATTACCCTCCCCTATCACTCAGAAGTCACGATGATTTCAAGAAAATGTAATGATGAGACCCTTCCCATTGACCTTTGTAGCCAATCCTTCAGTTGCCACCGGGAGTATTTCCAGCAAAATTAAATGCTGTGATCAGTCCTTTGTTGTCAAATGTGTAGCCACTTTGTTGTTCTATTGTCTTAGTCTCTAGAATTCAAAGAAAAAGGATATGAAAAATAAGTCTAGAGAGAACAAACACGTGGTGACTCTTACAAAGTAAGAGACAATACAGTTCAACTATGAATGCAAAGTTATGGAAAAAACTCTCAGCTGAGTCAAAATTTCACTCCCTAAATGCAATGACAGGAATAAATTACACTCAGGTTTTCTCTGAGGGCATAAATGTGCACACCTCTACAACAGAGTTGAGAAATTATTCCTTTACTGAGTCAGTCTATGCTACACTATTCTTTTTTATTAAATCTGAATTTATTTTCCATAATGCAAGCTTTCTACACATCTAAAACCTCACACTAACTGCAAGGCAACATAAGTAGTTAAAAAGCTAGAAAACTTTTAAGCATAATAACTGATAGTAATCTTTATCAAATGCCTGGATGCTGATGGATATTGCCCTAATTTGTTCTTCATTTCAAATGTCAGATTGTGTAAAACTAGTTCATACCCTGTTGAAAAAAAACAACAGCACAAGTCAATGAGAAGGCAATTAATTAGAAACAACAGTAAACTTACTCTGAATAACACACACTTCCAGGCAAGGAATAATGTAATCATGATATCCTGCTCACGCTTCCTAGAAAACGTTAATTAGCACAGAGGTGGTTGTTACAGATCAGAAGCCGTTCCAACATCTCTGCAAGAGCTGAAAGGGGCCCAGGGAAGTGACTCACCTGCAGCAGTTCTCCTGTGCTCTGCTAATGTGTAGATCTCCTGCAGCTGTTTCTTCTGATCCTCACTCAGAGGTGCAGTCAGGGAGTGGTACCAGGCTGCATCCCGGCTCTGCACCGCTGTCAGGGCAGCAAGGGAGGAAAAGGGACCATCAGCTTACACACAGGTTCATTTCAGAATAACAAACTGAACCACATGAAATTCTGGCTGGTTTTAAAACAGAATCTGCACTGCAAAACAACATCAGTATTCCTGTCGGTTTTCTTTGCACAGAATTCCCACTCTAATAGAGGCAATCCATTTTGGGGAGCTTAATTACATCCTCTGCTTTCTGAAACAGAACGTTAACCATGTGGCCATTATTCATGGACAATGTGAATTGAATCTTCTCGTTTAAAACTCATATGAAAACTAAAAGCAACAGGATTAGTGAAACAGGAAAGGGAGAAAATAATTTCTCCATGAACATCAAGAAGGTGACAAATATTTCTCTATATACGAGTCCCTCTAGTGACCAAGCCCCACTTATTTAGGCTGTGATTGAAAAATTCTGAGGGAGAATGTGAAGAGAATTAATCTTTGGCTCTATTTGCTGTCATATTTTTGCAGCACTAGTAAGCCAAAAAATTGTAGGACTAACGTAAGAAAGTGAGATCACGTTTTTCAGTAATCTAAACCATTACTCGTAACAAAGAAAAGGGTTTTCCCCAGTGATGACCATAAACATCTCCAAATTATAACATGATTTCATCATGCTATATCATTCTGCCAAACAGCAAACACATACTCAGAAGTGCTTGTGTAAAAAACTGGTATTCATCAACACCATTTTCAAGGTCAAGAGGTGTGCTGAACCCTTCAAGAGCAGTCTCCTCCAATGCATCTTCATCCCAGTCGTCATCATCATCATCGTCTTCATCCTCTTCCTCTCCACCTCCAGCACTGCCACCTCCTCCTCCACCATGGTTCTCTTGCATTGCCTGGCTCACTTCGTTTGTCTCATCCTCATCGCTCGGTATCTCTTCTGCAAAAGCATTGATATGGTTTGTAAAACAAAGTTTAAAACTACAAGGAAACAATGACTGATGAATTAAAAACAATTAGTAAATCTAGGTTTTGGCTGGAAAGGGGAACACTTGCTAACATCCCTTCCCCAAAATCTTTAATAGTCTTATGTTAAATGTTAAAATGTTTCTTACATTCAAGATCAGTTAAACTTTTGTTTCTACGCAGACTCGAGGAATGTGGAACAGCCATCTTTTTTCTTCTTTCATTTATGCAGTCATTGTGCAATTACAGGGTCTAAAATTTTTGAGGAAATGCTTTCCAAGAAATGGTCCATCACTCAGCTTTTTAAATTACAGAGACTTGCATAGAATTCTCAAATACACATAAAACCATGAGAAATCCATGAGAAATCTGTAGACCAACTGTATGCCTTCTCTTCTTGAGTGTTGCCTTATTTGAACACCTTAAGTTGGTGTTACCTTCCATTCTGCTTATGAAACTATGACCCCCTGATTTAAATGCAACTACAACCTGCAATTCTAAATACTGCTTTTTCCTACTTAAGGAAAAGCATTTCTGACTTATAATCAAGATTTTAAAAAACCAAAACCTTCATTTCCAAACCTGCAGCTCTTCCTGTGTTAGCAGTTTAGAAAGAATAAAGATGACTATAGATGCAGCAAGCAGGGACTGAATCACAGGATAGAGATGTGAACATTTCTGTGCTGTTTCCATACTGTATTCCTATGCAGTGAGAAGAATTCTGTGATTCCATTACAGAGCAATTATAGGTGAAATGTGAGTGGATTACATAATATGCTTAGGTCCAATCTGATTTTCAGACTACTTAACATCTACTCCTTGTCAAACACATTTGCCTGCAATGCTGTGGACAATTTCCTCCTCTCAATTTCCTCTGTAAGGCATTCTTTGATGTTTTTTCTCTTCTGGCAGACACAGAGGTTAGAGGCCTGTGTGCTCAAGGAACCTCAGCTGTCTCAAACCCTACTCTGCAAACAACCTTCCATTTGGACAAAGATCTGCCAGGATCTCCCTCAAAATTCAGTCAAAAGGGTCTTTCAAATAGCTGGGTAGTGGAACAGCTTCTTTCCAGGAAGAATACACCTAGTGGAGTCCTGGCAAACTCCTGCTGCCTATGTGAGAAGACAGTATATTCACAACCCAGAAGAGTACACCTGCAAGTTACTCTTGAACCAATACTACCCTTTCAAAAATGTTAGCTGTTACACCTTGAAACATTTTGATTACACACTTTGGGAGGAAGAATCAATTCCTAAGATGGTATTTCAAGCACCCAGTAAGCCGAGCTATTTTCAGCAGACTAATGAGTCTTAAAAACGAACTGCAATTTCTTACCCCCTTTAAATTAAATCCAGACAAAATCCACAATGTGAAAAGGGGAGATTTTACCATTATCTTCTGCAAAGTGTTTTTCATCTTTAGCATGATCCTCGTGTTCTGTGAGCTCTCGTGAGGCGCACACTTGTTTTAAGCCCAAGAAGAGGAGGAGGATTGAAGGAACAATCTGGGCAGCCACAGCATCCACTGCAGGTGGTCGGTTCTGCAATTCCATTAGGATGCTCAGTCCTATTATACACATCTTTCTGTCATGGAGTCTGAAACAAGACACAATTGTTAGACAAAACCAGATTTTCACTGCAAGGATATACAGAGAACATTAAAATCTTGACATGTGCATAAGACAATGTCTCAGGCTATGTTCAAAGATCCTACACAAACTAGTTTCTTCATTCTGAATGCAAGTTTCCCACTGGAAAGGACTAATCCAAGAACAATTAAACAACTTTCAAGCACTGGTCAAATTCCTGGAGCAACTTTTTCTGATTACCAAATGCAAAATTTGTAATGCTAAATAAATACTATTTAATAATTATGTAGACTATCTTGTCTTTAATAAAGCATTTGATACAGATTATCATTATTAAATAGGATGGAAAATTAATTTGCCTTGGCTTTGATAGCAGTACTGTTTCAGGGATGGAAATTGGCAAAAACTATTAGTGAAGAGCAATGATAAGCAGGAATGCATTGAATCACAGGGTGCATTTATGGAATGCCCCAGGGACAGCTGAAGTTAAATTATGAGAAGTCCATCAGAATGGCTTATGCATATTTCAATATACAATTTCTAATGCTAACTTGAGACAGATTGCTAACTCTGGTGAAAGCAGGGAAATAATTCCATCTTATCAAGAGTAACTGGCAGTATACTCAAACTGGGAACTTACAAATGAGTAGCCCTGAAGACAATTGAAGGGAAAGAAATTAATTGATTAGTAGCAGAAAGATTTTTATGGGACCACAGTCAGGAAACTAGGTAAGAACCTATGCTCTTACACATAAGAATTGATTTTCACTTCCAGAAAAAGGAATTTTTGCAAACAAGATGGAAAAAACATCTCTAAATGCCTCTGCAGATACTCTCTGGTTCTCCTTTACTGGAAACATCAGAAGTAGTCAACTTGGAGCTAACATTACAGTATTCTGCTATTATAGGCTTGAGAGGAGCTTTTTTGTTTGAACTATTCAATTTGATGCTGACAGTTTCTGTGCAGGCCTTCTGCAGCCAAACCTAGAGAAACCAAGCAAACCTCCAGAGCTGGGAGAAAATGGCCATCCTCTAAACTCTTGGGGTACTTCCATTACTGAACCAGTTTTACTTTGGAATGAAGAGAATACAAGGTGAGAGAGAAGAAATAAGATGGGCACCACAGGCTGCAATAAAGCTGACAGGGGGACTACCAGCTCAATCCACCACTTCAAAAATTACTAGAGAGATACAGCTTTTCAGTGCTTAGGTAATTTCATTACCCAAGTTCCTATATAACATGCTACTGAACTACTATATCCTTTAAGTAACACAAGTGATCCTGTATTGCAGCTTTCTAAACTTTACTAGTGCTTAAACAAGGTTAGAGATCTGGAGGGATTTCATGACACCTCCCATGTTGTTACTCCTGTTAGGATTTACTGAAGTGATTCATTCTCAAGAGCAGCTGACAACAAAAATAAATTAAATATGACCATGCAGAACACTATGATCCCAGCAGACCTTCCAAGAACAACAAAGTCAAGCAGCATATCAAATGACACACTTTGTCACACTGGGTTTGGCTGCTTGGTTACACGTGTTGAAAACCGCACCAAGGCGCAAGCAGGGAATGCAGCACTCCTGTAACCATAATCCTCTTTTCACATGGCATGGGTCACAAAAGAGGGCATGCAAACCAGGGAGACTGAGATAGAGGAACAGGATCTGCTTTCATGAGAAAAAAACCATAAATCCCTTACTCATCTCAGCTGAAATGACTTACTCCTCCATGTTAAAAACAAGCGGTTCGCTCTCTCTTTTTGCAGACCAAAAGCCAAGCTAAAGATAATGCTACCTATAAATGAAGGACAGCTGTTATCTGGAGAGTTATCCATCCTTAGAGCAAATACAAATGTAAAAAACTTTCTTTACCTCCTCTTTTAGTCAGCACTGTCAGACAAGTGTGACCCAAGCTCTGTAATCTATGCACAAGATTTCTATCCTGCATCTTGACACTGGGAAGCCATGAAATTTCTTCAAGACCCAAATGTACAAAGAAGCAATGTCAGCCACATGCACCAGAGTAAACTAACAACTCTTAGCACTACTTTTTATCATACATTTGAAAAAGCTACCATTGCACAACACAAATTGCAAAATGCAACACTAAAATGTAAAAAAAAAAAATCTTAGTAATTAATGGCTTAGCTTCATATGAAATTATCATTTTGGGACAGCAAATCAAAGTACAAGAATGAAGCCCTGCTGTTTGAAAAGGAGTCATCATTGGGAAGCAGCCCAAATGACCAAAACCCACAGCACATTTGTCATGCTCCACTTTAAAGCTGCTAAAGAGAGAAGTTGCAAGAATGAACACATGTCTTGAGAATATGCATGTTATTAGAAGGCCCTGCAGGACAGCAGAAATTCAGGCATTGAGCCATCTTTAGTGAACCTGAGCCAGAAGGAGACTTTTTTTCCACCTGCCAGCACAGAGAAACAGCAGGAAAAGCATCTGCTTTGCCTGAAGTTCAGTATTCTACTATACCCCAGCTGTATTAAGGACTGAACAAGCAAAACAGAGTTTTATATATTTTCATAATAGCAAAGAATGGCTTCAGGACCATTCCCTTGCTATCAAAAGGCTCATTATTTCAGCACCCTTCCATCTGCTCAAGGGAGCCTGGGTATGATTCTCCTCAGTAATTTGTGCTTTGAGATCTGTACTTATTTGCTCAGAAGCACACAATAGCCCTCCCTAACAATCAGGGACTCTGCTTATTCCTCAATGGTTTATCAAGCCTGGGGTGTTGAACACACAACACACAGCCCTGCAATGCACAACTCCAAGCCATGTCTGTTTTTAACAAGCTGTGTGTGGTCCTCATAATCTGCAGGACCTCTTCTTGCTAACACATATTCCTCTAATACAGCACAAAGGATTTTAAAATCTTTTGTATTTTAAACCAAGCTGAAAGTATTTCAGAGAATAAATGCTAAGCCTTTCCTTTTACTGTGAGAATCAAGTTTCTTTCTATTACATCAATCCAGTTCCTGGACAAACTGCAAATAATTAGCCATTCCCTTCTATTTGCAAAGTTGCAACCAACCTAAGACTGGGATCTTTATATACAACTCTGAGAAACCTAGGATTTTTAACTACTCAAACTCCTATCAAATATATAACCCTCTTCAGCTTCAAAAAACCCAAAAGCACTTACTGAGGGTTTTTTTGAAGCAAGTGAGATTGTCCTTTCCCCCTAGTTACCATAGAAGAATTTTTAGTATGAGAATAAGCGTAAGTCATGCAGATGTTTCACCCAAACCTCAGCTGTCAGTAAAAAGGTAGAAAATGGGAAGGAGCAAATGTTTCTGCAAAAGGCCTTCCAGTGTGAAGTTACTGCAGCAAGCATTTAGAAATACATACAGTATCCTGTGGAATATAGGCACTATCAGCACACAACCACAGATATGTGACTTCCACTATGACATACTGAATTTATGCACAGTCTTACAAGGAATTCTGAGTTCTCCTTGCCTGGCTAATTTTTAATATGCCAACTTTGTAACACTTTATCAATAGTTTCCATGGCTTTAATAACATGGAAGAACAGCTACTTATCTTACCATAACTGTTTTTCTCCTGCATTTTCCCCATGGATTCCATCTCATGTGTTTGCACATGCTGCTCCACAAACACTGCATTCTTTTGGCAAACACCAATGGCTCCAGCCTGAGCATGTGCAGCCATGCACAACCCTACTGCTGGCAGAGCACAATCTATGGGGACTAAGACTTCACAGGAACAGAAGAAAGACATAGAATCATGGAATCGTTTGGGTTGGAAGAGACCCTAAAGGTCATCTCGTTCCCATGGTCAGGGACACCTTCCACTAGACCAGGTTGCCCAAAACCCCATCCAGTCTGACCTTGAACACTTCCAGGGATGGAGTGTCCATGCAAAAGAGTGTGAGATTTATGTGAACAAGGCATCTTGGACAGCTGCTGTCAGCCTCACATTCCAGATTTCCTGCATGGCTGACAAAGAAATGACAGCAAGATTCGCCTGGTCCTTCACATCTGGAGGTGGATCTCCTTTGATCTTTTTCAGTTTCTCTAGGATTTGTGAGTTTACCAAATGATTTGAATCTGGGCCTAAAACTGCCTCTTAATGGAAAGTAAGTTAAGTGTAAACCAAAGGAACAAATGGCAGCTGATGAGAAAAAAGGGCTGTACAAATAAAGGTGCCCACTGCTCTCTGATGAAAACATGAACTTGTTAAGGGGGGACCCAAGAAAGGGTTTCAAGAACACCAAATTTTTTTGCACTTCTATCTTTTCCTGTTCAGTCAGGCCTCTGAATCTGGGGCTCCTGTAATACTCCTAAGAAAACAAACAGTCTGCTGGAAGCAGTGCTCTCCTGAGGGAAAGGGAGGAAGTCCCTTACAGCACATCACAGTGCCTCACCAGCAGTACCACAGCAGAACTCCTACCCTACATCTGGGAGCCACAAAGTGAGGAGACAGCACAGAAGGAAGAGTGACTTTTAGATTTAAGCAATATTACAGATAATTATTTCTCTGCTGGTAGCAGCAGATCAAAGAGAGGTTTCTAACCCTCTGCTGCCATTCAAGTGCACTCTGGGTAGAATGATGGGCATGACAACCACGTGTTTAACTTCTCATTTTCACAGGCTTTGTTAACCTTTGTCTCAGCTCCAAGTACGAGTTTATTTGAACAGTAGTTTCAGTGGCTGATGCTTTTTGATGAGCAACACAGAAGAAGTGAAAATTTAGCTCACAGTAGCTCACAGTACTGAGACTGGAGCCTAGTCAGACCCTAACATTTTTCCTCTCTGAATCTGACTAGCTTCTCAGTGAATGCTCCAGGATGAACTGCTTCAGACTACAAATCTCTTTCAGTTTACCATCTGCAAGGAATATCTTCTTTCCTACCATCTCTGTATTTGCTCAGCATGTGATTTGTAGTAGAAAAAAATGAAAGCACAAAGAGATGAAGCTCAAGAACTTTGCTTCAGCCATACAAGAAAATTGGTACATGGAAATCCTAAAATGTCTTGCCCTTTTCTAAAGCTGGTAGATATAAAAATAATTTAGCAATTACCAATAATATTACCACAAGGTGAGGAAGAAGCAACTTAAGGAAGACATCCATCCAAGCCTATCCATACCCCTGCAGGCAGATGTCAGCCTCCAGTAGCAAAACAAAACTCAGGCAGGAAGGTGAGAGGTAGCTGTTAACTCCATCTGTCTGCTTTGCCCTTAAGTGGATGTGAATCTCCCAGTTAAGACACCACATCTCAGCTGAGAGGCAAGCACTGGCCTTCACCTCTGCTCAGCATCAAGTGCAAGCTTTGCTAGGTGATGACAGGCTTTGCTCCCCTTCATTAACTTTACAAATGCTCAGCTCCTGCCTGAGCACACCAGTGCAGCACACACACATTCAAGGGAGGTCACAGTGACGTTTCAGTTCAGCAGGATGCGAAGAAGTCAATGGCACAATGATAAATATGCAAGTTGATTGTGAAAATTCATTTAAAATCAGAACTGGGGTTCACTGGCAAGAGTAATGTTTTGGTTATTTTTTAATTAAATGTAGCAGTTAAAAGTAACTTACAAAATACAGACCAGAAAGTATGTACACATAAAAGGTTAACATGTTGTTTGTTACAAATGGTAAATACAGTTACTGGCTTTTGCATCTATGTATTAGCCTTTGCAAGTTATTATCACAAAGATTCTGATATAATACAATTTGTAATTCCTTTTAACTGCTTTTTGGTATAATATAATCTGCCAGTTTATGTATGTACCACATAGCTTATATAAATAATAGTGTGATGAATACATATTATATCTTAGGCCTTAGCATAATATTAAAATGAAAACTGAGTATTGTATTAAAATGCTTTTATTTGTGTAACTAGCCCAGATAATGGTGTGAAATAGCTAGGTTGTTTCTCACATTTGTGGACCATCTTATCTGAATGATAACAGTGACAAGAACCAGGACACCAAGAGAAAAAAACTTACTACTGACTCTCCAATTATTAAAAAGTACCAAAACAACAGAATGGAGCCTCAAGCAGAAATAAAACATATTGATTTAATCTACAAGATGGCATGTAGACAAGTTAAAGATTAAAACCAAGCAAAAGAGTTCCTAGAATATGTAAACTCACAGGAATATTTGAATACACATAAACTCTTATGAACATGCATGTAACACCTGTAACATAACAGTACATAGAGAACATTGTTTTAAGCTAACAATGTGCTTTTGGCAGATTGCCAAACACCCTAGTGCTGGATATCGTCCCTTTTATCCCTTACTAAACTTTTAGAAGTTTTCAAGAGTGATCACAGTTTCTCACATTGTTGAAAACCAGCTGGTCAATATTGAATATTGTAAAAAATAAACCTCTCAATACTTGCCCAAAAAAACAGTCTGTGTCATTCATCCACTGGTTTATGAACTGTGCAGTGATGGGCTCAGGATTGTGTGGAAATCTGATGTTCTCCAAGGTGTGCAAAAGTAGGTCAGGATTGTAGTAGAGTGCAGCTATGGCAACTTGAAGACACATGGTACGGAGCTCGCTCGTTTTAACTCCTCGAGTCAGGCGCTCCAGAACAGCCTCCACAAAGAGGGGAATGCACTGGGCACAAAAGAAGACAAAAAAGAAAAGGAAAGGGAAAAAAACCCCAGTCATTAGACATGTTGCCAGACAATACAAAATTTGGTAATATTTTTACCAGAATTATGTCCTGAGTTGTCTGAAGTTTAGGTATAGAAGAAAGGAAAAGATTCCTTTCACTTTCTAGCCTCTGATCACACAGTTATAAATCTTCCCCAAAACAGCTCTTCTCTGAGCTAAAAATTGCAGTGTTATTCTGAGCACAGGGGAGTATATTTCAGGCCTTTGGTCGAGTTTGCTCTAGCATGTTGAAAAGATTTAGCAAAAGACTCAGACATTCTCATCTTTGAAGAAAGACACTAAATATTTCAAAACTAACAGGCATTAGAAATTAAACTACCTAAATTCCTAACATAGTTAGAAGTTTTTCCTAATAAATGTAAAGTGATGTTAAATTTTTTATAGAAGTTTAAAACGAGTTTATTCAGATAAAATCAAACGTGCACAAATTTCTAAACAATGAAATAAACATCTTCTAAACACATGCATATTTCAATGGGCACATTTATATATTACAAAAATTTGGCAAGCATTACAAAAGTTTTAGTTTATGAGTTTCAGTTCAGTGTGCAACCATTTTAATTCATAGAGTTGTACAACTCAATTAAGCCTTCCACCACATATTTATTTCAATGCAAATGCATTGAAGTCACTTTAAACTCTTCCAGATTTCCTTTAAAAAATAAAACCTTTCAGAGAATGTTTTCATCTTCAATTACTTCAGATTTACACGAGTAAAGTTATACCACTTTCAGTGAAATTAACTGAAAATTTATCACTGAAATCCATGGATTGCACTGTGGCAACATCAAACATGGTGTGTCAAGGTAATTTAGGCTCATTATATGAGTCCAGAATTTGGCCCTTAATAGGAAAAAGACTACTTTCTAAAAAGGTGTTCTAAGAAACTCTGGAAAATTGTGATTATGTTTCTCTCTGCAATCACAAGCAAGCCATGCTAAAAAATCTGCATTTCTAAATGCACTTAGTAATTTAAAACATCAAAAAGTTCCCATAGCTTGGAGAAACAACAGCAGTTGGATATGTACAGTTAACCTCTCAGCCACATTAGTTTTAACTATGTGTTTTGCATCAAAAGGGAATAGAAAGAAAAAAGCTACAATCTTGCACAACACACTATATCCTTATAATTCAGTCCATATCCATTTTGTGGTCATGCCCACTAACATCTTGTCTCAAAACCAAAAAACCCCAACCTTACAAACTTTCCTGAGCTCATTTACTTCTGTCTTTCTCCCCAGTGTACATTTCCCTCAAATTCTCTAACTGCAGCTGTTTCTCTCAGGAGTCATGGATCATTAGAAAGCAATAAAAGAGAAAACCTGTTCAATATGAATCACCTGGTCAATACCCCGTCCTTTGCACTGAAGAACAATCACTTCTAGGAGTTTGGCTGCATGGCACTCTGCATCTTCTCCTGCATCTCCTGTCAATACCTAACAATCAGAGTAACAATTTAGCAGTAATCACTGACAACACTGAAAGCAAGTGCTCCTGTACCTGAATACATCCAAAAATCTCTACACAGCATATACATATGTATTCATGTTAAATTTTGTGAGGAATTAAGACACATAATTCATCTCTACGGGACATAAACAAGGATAAGTGGCTAAACATGAATTTTAAAAACTAGAAGAAATTACTGTAGTTCTTAAAGAATGTTGTATTATTTATATATTCTCACTTCCCCTTTTTTAGAAAAGAAATGTCACTTATAAGAATCACTGATGCTTTCCACATGGTGTTTCCATTCTTTCACTTCAATTCTAATAGTCACTGGCTGATTAACAGCATGGTAAAGTGAAGTGCAATGTCTAGGCTAGTTTCTGATTAAGAACAAGATGTATGCAATCATTCTGTGTGTAGGCACATACAAATGAAACTGAGTGCTTCATCTCAATACATTTCAACCCCATGGTCACTGTCAATCAAACCTGACAAAAGAAGCAAAATTTTCACAATCTAATAAACACTCCAAGTTTCTTAAAAATAAGCAGGTAGCTAGATGCTTAACACTCTCTAATGCCCCAAATCAGAGGAGGACTGCAGCATGATCTCATACTTTATTATACATGAGAGACTCAGCATGAAAGAGAAACAAGATAAATGTAGGAAGAACTTCAAATGAGCTTGCACCTTAGCTGACAACCAGAGAGTCCAACTGCAAGATACACAACCCAAGGAAATCAGGCTTCATTAATTCCCTACCTACCAAAATAACTTTCCATGGAAGAGAGTCAAGACAAACAGCAACTTTCTCCCACACAGCTTTTTGCATGTAATTTTCTTAAAGTATGTCACTTATAAAGTGTGAAGGTGCTGTGTGTGCTCAGAACTGAGTCAAGACCAAAATTCACTTAGTTCTGAAATGCTTGGTCACCACGTGGCATGTTCAGGTCACTCAGCTCCTCTAATTGTTATGTACCAGTGATAAGAACAACAGTAAGAATCAGAAGCCTCACCTTTTTACACATAGAGTAAATGATTTCTAAATGCTTTGGGTTAGACAGTAAAGTATCAGTGTCAATGGTCACATAATTATGCAAGAGAGGCATCATATCTGCAAAATATGGAGAGCAAAAGAGAAAGAAGTTACTAAAAGTACTAACCAGAGAGGCAGTCTTAAAAAGGGGAATTCATTAGGTGATGTTCTTGAATATGGTTGGAAATTCAAACTCTGATAGTCTTTTCTGGAAGAATTCTTCATAAAATGCACTATGCAGGCTGCATTCTTGGAATTAGAGCAGGACTACATTTTAATGAATCAATCTGTATTTTCACATTAACTTTGAATATTCAACTTTCTTTGAGTTCAGGACCCCTACAACAACTGATCACACTGACAGATTTGCTTCTCCTACTTAAATATCTCCTGTTGCACTCCCACACTCAACAGATGAGCAGGGCATGACTCAAATACATGATCATTTTAAACCTTGGCACTAAATGGAAGAGACCCTGATCTGCTAGAGATGAATTCTCAAACAGTAAAAATATCACTAGAACAGAAGTGAATTTACCTGCAAAGTATTCAAAGCAGTCCTGCTGGAAAACCTCGTACAGAACACCTAAAAGCTGCCACATCTGAGGTGAAACCATCTGGCATGTTAAGCTGAAGGCCAAGGACAGAATTTCTTCATAAAACTCTGCAAAAGACAGTTTGAAGCAGGGTGCTTTACAAAAAAATTTAACTTGCAAATACCTTGAAATCTGGAACAGAGTCCTGAGTCATGTAACAACTAGAAGACAGCAATTAGAAAATAAATCATACAGAGAAAAATAAAACAAATTGTAAAAGACTCTTTCAGACAGGCCTTGTGTTGGCTATAGTTACAATGATATGCATAGTTTTCCACTGCAAATACACACCAAAAAATATATCAGCAGCACATTAAAGACAATGTTTCTCATTGATTTACTGCAAAATATATTTTTTCCTCAGTCTTTGTTTTTTCTGAAAGGCCTTATCACAAAAGTGTAACTTTTAGTGCAGCATACTGATGAAGCAGTAATTTAATTGCAGACCATGTCCATAAGAGACTAATGTAATTTAGACATTTTCCTTTAACACAATTAGCCAGAATTATAATCAGAACAGCATCTTCAGCTTTTGACCTCCAAAACACAACAGCCAATCTGACTAATGTACAAGAGTAGAAATTACAATGGTAAAGTAATGGCTTATTCTTTAAAGAAACACACACAAAAAAAGATAAAATTCTGTTCTGAAAGATAACAATAATTAATTTACATGATTTTTCATATCTCTAAAACATACCTATCACGTGTTTCTGCAAAACAAGGCCAATGATCTGTAAACAAATGCTCTCGAGCTGTTGAGTGATCTGAAATAAAAACATAGAGCAGTTTATTTAAAAAATTAGGAATACAGCAATCAAATACATGTATTTGACTAATTCACTTTGAGCAGTTCTTCAAATCAAAAAGGCTTTTATCATTTTTTAAATGCTGCATCAACAATCATAATATTATGAAATAAGGTCTCACTGATGCAGAAAGAACCTCTTTACACTGAATATGTGATTTGTTGGCATATTGCACCACAACTGGGAGACCAATTCCTAGGAATTCTATCCAAGATATTGCTGGGTAAACTAAAGATATGGATCATCAATGTAAAAAAACTAGGTTTATGCAAAATATTTCTTTTAAAATTGTATTTTAACAGTCTTTAATACAACTAGCCAGCGTGAAGAAAATTAACTCTACCCCAACCAAAACCAGCACATTCCAATGAAGTGTTTACCAAGTAAGGGCTAAGAATTTTACCCTTGGGACATAAATTGCCTTGAGGTTGAAAGCTGAAAATTAATAAATCACAAAAGTAATCTGGGCTTTAGATTCCAATCTGTCAGAGATGGCTTGGTACCATCCCACTGCAGTAAATGCACATTCATGCCAAGTGATGCAACATACACAGAAATGCTTCTTGTCATGCATGAAAAACTACCAAGGAAAATCTCACCTCCTTGTGATCTTCCACAACTGTCAGGATTGTGTCAATTGTGTGCAAGATGCCCATGGCCATAACCGTTTTGTCCTCTACTTCCTCATATTCCTCGCTCTGAAGTACTTTACCAAATATTTCAGCCTGTGAACAAAACCAACCAGCTTGACATTCAAGAGCAAACCCATGTTTCTAATTTGTCATTCAAAACCAAGGCAGTTAATGCAGCAGCAGCAATGCCTTATCTCTAAGAGCTGTCAGCACTGAAAAATATGCTGGCTGCTTTTGAAAAGGGAATACAGCAAATTAAAATCTCCTCTTTTTTTTCAGAAGTCTACGTCAAGTCATTTGAAATGCTAAATAGTTAGATTGTGGCTCATTAAAACCAGTGACACAAATCAGCGTCTTTGAAAAATCTATAGGTTGTAAAGATGCTTCATACAGAAAAAAAAAATACAAACAGTGCACATACTACAGATGGACTCTTACAAAGATTACTTTAAACAGTGTGTACTTCAAGCAGAGTTCATGAAATGTTCAAAGCAGGCACATGCTTCTGCCTGGAGTGGTCATTTAGTATTGCTCTCACCAGGTGCTGGGTCATGTCCACAGCAATAGTGGCCACTTCCTGGCTGTACTCATAGATCATCTTCTGGATGACATTGGTGAGATCATCGTTCTCTGTCTCCCTCACAATGTGCAGGAGCTCATGCATCACTGGCCTTACATAAGGCTTCACATATTCCTTGGCTAAAAGATGAATAGAAAGCAGGTGAAATCAGCTATCCATAAACACAAATATACAGCATCTCCAAACTGTCAGGTAGCTGACTACTCTTGAACAAAATAAGTTTTTTAAATTTGAATTCACTAAAGAAATAAAAAAGCCAAAAACATACCCAAGGCAATTTTACAGTCTGTAACTCGTAGACAGAGTAAATAAATTGTGTAATATTGAAATGCCACCTACAGCTAAAATCCACTTTTGAGGGAACACTTGCTCTCATACATAAAGCAGTGCTCATTTTTAAATATACACACTGCTTAAGTTCACTAAAAAAACCCCAAAGGTGGGTGATATTTACTTTATAAAAACATGCTGATTCTAACTTCTTTTGCATCATCAAAACTTCAAGTCAGAATTTTGGGATGTAATGAGCAAGTGAATCTGCCTAAACTTGATAAAATATTCTGAAATCTATGTCTTCAAATGACAGAAATGTTTAGATAAATCTGCACCAACCTCCTTGTTCTGACAAAAAATCAATAGATCAGTGTATACAGCTGATGAATCACTGTCACATACCTTGCTCTTGGTTGCTTATTAAGGTCTGAAGGGCTATGGCTGCTTCTACTTTGACAGGCATCTCCTTATCATCAATCAGGCTCTTCTTTGTCAGCTCTACTGCATTCCTCAAGTTTAGCTCATTGTGAAACTTCAAAGCACTGAATGAATGAAGGACCCAACAGGACTGCAAGGCAAAAAGAGAAGCAAGTTAGGGACTATGGCAATTTTAAGCATTTTTAACTGAGTCAAGACCAATGCTAACTGTCTCCCTGCTTGCATGCATTGCTCTTTTTTCCCCCCACTTAATTATGGTGTATTCTTCCATTAAATGTAGCACAGGTATTGCACTCAAGCAGTTCTTTATTGTACTGTCCCAAATTCCATTAAATTCAGTGTGCACATAATTTGCATTCATTGTTTTGGTCCTTCTGGGGGAAATAAAATCAGAACAAAACAATGAAAACTGTTTGTCCATGACTGATATCAGCACTTGGGGATTTTCTTCAAGCAACACCCAAACTGATGTTACCTACTTGTGGAAATCCCTGCCTATTCTTCACAGCCATCTCTGCTAATGAAAAATGGCCACAATTGCTGCTCAGATTCTCAAGTTTGATTGAAGAGGTGAACATTAATACAACACAGACCCTCCATCAATTCCTTTAACTGAAACATCCTTTTTTAAAACAAAATTATGAAAAAAAACAGCACAAGAATGTTATTTCAAATTTTACAATGTATTTACCTAATTTCTTTCAGTAACATTCAGAATGAAATCAAACTGCAAAGGAAGGAACCATGGCAAATACTGGAATTGATGTAGCAGGTGAACTTACTCGAGCTCTGAGGTATCCCAGGTTAGACATGAACAAGGGAAACACATGATTCTGCAACATCAGCTCCATTTGATCCTTGAAGACACTCTTCTGTTGGAGTAAGGAAAAATTAATTTTGGACACCATTCATTTCACATACTTCTTTCTAGCCCATAATGCATTCCAAATATCAACAATGGGAAATACAATAATTTGTCTATATAATAAAGGTATCCTCCCACAAAGAGAACTAGATCCCTTACCTTGAATAGAGCCAACTCAAAAGCACAGCAAGTTCTAAACCAGGCAAGTGAAACAACTGTACATATCATATTTTACCTGGCGTTATTCATTACAACATGTAAACTGGAATTTTCATGTTATTTAAGGCAATTAATACCAGCTGATTTTTCTTAAAAACTAACAAGGATCAATAACCTGGTAATTCCATTCTTCCTACAAAGGAGAAAATATAAACCTGAAGATAAATATGGGCTTAGTATGGAACAGATTTGAGTTTCAAATGAACTACTGTTACTCTAAGTATCAAAACTTACTATCTTGGACACTACAGCAACAAATTTAATCTTTTTTCATGTTTATTAATGGATGAAGATAATTCCTTTGTGACAGAAATTAATTCCTTTGTGACAGAAATGTCCTTAGCTGGAGAAGGATACTGGATGAGAGTTATCCTTCATTACTCCAACCTTAGCAAATGCCAAGATTCTCACAGGAAGCTAGAACCAGCATGGAGATTTGAGACTTTCCTTACAGTCCCAGAATAATAGAAAAGATACACGCTAGGGATGCTGTTACCATCCAAAGGAATGGTTCAGTGGCAAAGACAGAAAAGGGTGAAATGGGACACTCAATACAACATGTATTTTGCATGATCAAGCTTTATTTCACCAATGCACACAGCATTTTTTTCCACACTCATTCCCCAGCTTTCACAGAGCTGGATGAAGGACTGAGCAGAGAAAAAACAGAGAGAAAGGAAAATATTGCTTTTTTGTGCACACTGACCAGAAGTCTGTAGGCTTTGAACTGGAGCTGCTGTGGGAGCCAGGTGGCTCAGGCAGGCCCATTGTATCTATGAGCTCCTTAGACTCAGGATCTCAGTCAGCTCAAGAGCCAAAAAGCACTTACAAATCCAGGATTTGATGTGGAAACAGCTGATGGAATGTTTCAATGTGTCAAATTCCAAACACGAGAAATTCAAATTTTAAAGGGCTCTGTGGTATTTGGGGTTATTACTCTTGTATAAAGTGCAATATAACCTCATGTTTCAGGATTGAAAATTTCAAATAGGAGCAGAATACTGGAATAAATCCCCTTTCTTCCCCGCAGGACAGAGATAAATATGTTAATATGAAAATCTCCTCACAACACAAACAATGTTTCCTCATTCACTGTTATACTCCTGCATGAGGAAGGACATGTACAATCCAAAATAATCTACAATAATTCTGCAAAAGTTACTGATGTTTCAGGATTTAAGATCATAAAGTAGATTGGTAAAAAAACAGATGGTCAGTGCTGGTAAGATGTTGCTCCTAACTGAAGACACATCCTGAACAGTGAGACAATTCAGATAAAATATAATAAATCACTTTTTAAAAGAAGCCTCCAGCACAAGATCACCATTCTCATGCTACAAGTGATAATGCTTTGTCAATTACTTTTGACATGGAGCAAAGGCATATTTTGAACTCCACCATCTACAAAAGCACCAGGCAAACTGTAATCAATTGCAATTAGAGAGCAACAGTGTGCATTAAATTTGCATTCAGATTCCAGAAATACACCCAAAATTCTGAAGATGCTGTCTATAAAAAATGGAGGAAGGCTCCTTGTTCTTTTCAGCTTTTTTCATAACTCCCAACTGGCAGATGAAATAAGACTTAAAGCCACTTATTGAAGAGTGAAAAAGTTGGAAAGCTAGACAGAACACCCCTGTTATGTGTTAAGAAAACCTTTTCCTGGAACCAGAAGAAGCCCATTAGTTGGGGCCATTCCCATAAGTTGGGGAATTTCATAAAGAATCATAGGCCATGTTACTGATAGAATGCATGTTTGCTTTCTTTACACTTCCATTTTCCCAGTAAAGCAGGAGGGGACAAAGGGACTATCGTGTAACAAACAAACAGAGCTTTGAAAAAATGTGAGAAGGAAATATCTGTGTATAAAATTATGAAATAAAAACCAGGAAAGAACGTTAATATTTTTAAATAAACAGACTCTCATATTCTGATTGCAATCAGAGAAATCTCTTTACACATTTTTATAAATATGGCTAAGGGCTAGTCATACTTTATAAAGTAAGGCTATTTTAATTTAAATCACAGCTGATAGCAAGAATTGCAAACTTGTTTCCATTTCTTTACCCACTTACCTTCAGTAAAATATCTGCTAGGGATCCTATAACATGCAAAGCTCCATCTTTTTTCCTTGGATCAATGTTTGGCTCAGTCAGAATCTGGTAGCAATATGCCATCATTTTTGGTAATACCTGTGCAGGACAGAAAACACACAATCCCCTTTAGTCAAGTTATTTTAATAGCATTGTTTAAACAATTCATATGACATTTTCAAGAAGAAATTTTGTCTTGGCTAGAGCAATGTGAGGTACTAAATGTAGCACCTTTCAATAGTTAAAAGTGTAAAACTTTGGAATTTTCAACTTTTCAGCCAAATTGGTGAAAATTAGATTCATCTCCATGAAATTTCTCATTACTAATAGAAAGTAAGGTATTTTTGTCACTGCCTTGAAGCAAATCAAAAAAAGTGATGAAAAGGCAAAAGGCTCAAACAGCACCTCGCCCACTTTTTCTCTTCTTTTCTGGCTTGTCTCACACATAAATATAAATACATATGTGTGTGTGCATATATCTATGAAAATACATATATTTTCAAGGAGACCTTGGACTAAAATCTCATAAACTTAATTTGATCTATTGATTTTGGGAGTAGTTTCTAAAGTTGACTAGACTTAGAAAAGTTTCTTGGCAAAACCAACAGCTGAATGTGATTTCCACACTCATTATGTCCTTTTCCAACATGCCACTGGGATGGTCTAAATACAAATTATGAAAATGAGAAGGAAGATCAGTGGACAAGAACTATTTTGACAATAAAAAGTAGAAAGGTCATATTCCACCTATTCCACCTAATGTAAAGACTGTGTTCTCCTCTGAAAATCCATCTGGAAATTGAGCTCCATGATTACTGGATGTTAAAATGGAACCTAGAACAACATTTACCATTTTAGCCAACTGTGCTTTCTAGGGGGCTTGCCTGAGTACTTTTGTACAGGTCACTGGAAATACAGAAAGATCTACAGAAAAGTTATGTCCTCATTTAAAGAGTAACTATATGAAATGGGTTTTGTCCTTGCTAACTTCAATGCTGTTAAGAAGGATTTTAAATAGCACCAGTGAAAATTAATAAGGATCAGATCCACTTTCCCTCCTGCTACAGTTTGTGATGCTGAGAACAGCTGTGACAGAGGATGTCTGTAAACCTGGGAAAATCTATTCCAATATATCTATTCCAACCCATTTTGTATCTGGCAGATGCATTTTAAATCTGGAAAAAGAATCCACTTAGTGTTTGTACACACCATATTTTAACTCTCCCCAGATTGATAGCATTCAGCCAGGAAACATTTAACTATGTAGCAGCAAGTATATTTTTCAAGACTAGCTTCCTTTAGCATCTTCAAATATATGGGGAAAATAGGTTTAAAAGGAAAACTCAAATAATTTAAAGCCACTGGTTTCATACCTCTTTTCTCTTCTTTGCAGCAGTGTAAAGGAGATTCTGGGCTGCTGTTGTTGTGGATGCATAGTCCTCAAATACATCTAAAACAATGGGGAGAAAAGAGCATAAAGAAAATTTCTTTTCTGAATAATAAATTTTTTATAAACCACCTTGGTTTTGGGATTTCACAGAATCTGGATGAATATAAACCTCAACATTACTGACATGATCCTCTTCACTTCCTGGTTAAAGAGTCAGACCCAAGCTCATGTCACACACACACTATACTTCTTCCCTTCCAAATCCACTGCCACACTTCATTCCCTAAATTAAGGAATTAAGAATATTCTATTTCTTCATTAGCTCTTTTGAGACCATACACAAGGGATGAAAAATCATGTCTCTTTTTTTAATTAAAACTCCTATAGGAAGAACAACAATACACTCCAGTACCATCTGTATAGCATATGAACACATTTTTGACTTGATTTTATTAAAACCTCATGGGAAACTTTTTGTACATAAAATCTACTTAGATCTGGAGTAGTTTTAAATCTGTTGAAAGGTCAAGTTTTTTAGTTTCATTCATTGCAACTAAACCTCTGCTGTTCATATTGAAAGCGTAATTTATATCTTGAAATAAAAGATGTGCTGCAAACATGTTCTAATCCAAACATCCCCACACAAATTAAATCAAACTAAAAGATCTTAAAATGCTGTCTTAAAATGTGACTCAAATTACACACCAACTTTTCCTGAAAACTTTTAAGATAAAACATCATTAGGAAGTACTACCAGACCACTGGAATCCTTGTTCCAAACAAAAAAGTGCCTCAAGAAATCTCCATTTAATGTACTTTGATATGTGAGTGTAATGTACTTTGAGTGGTTTTTTACATTCCATGATACAATCTGAATCTGTATTTAACTGCCTCAGCTACACATAAAAATAAGATTCACTACTTATACAGAAAGAACTGAATTCACACACCAAATATCAAGGATGTATGTATACCCTAGTGATCAACACTATATTGTAATTAATTTGTTGCATAACAACTCTCCAAGCTTTTAAATAATTCTATGAATATTTAAATTCCATTTTCACATACACTAATCCCAAATCAACTAATTAAAATTTCCCGAATGCTGCATATATATGTCTGTGGTGCCTGGCTTGCAGGAGTTTTCCAGCTAAAATTGCTGTACTTTTAAAGTACCTTTCTCCTTTTCAATGACATGAATCTTTTAATAAATGCAATTATTCATAATATGGCCCTATGTGTTATTCCCAAGATTTTGCACTGTGTCTTTTGAAGGAATATATATATATCTAATTATCTTACAGTGGAGTAGTAATAAGTGGCAGAAGAATGCTGAAAGCACTGACAATTTTCAGCAGGGAAAGAGTAAGTCAGGCCTCTTCTGGTCAAAGTGAGAGCTGCAGGAAGCTGCAGACAGCTGGCACATCTGCAAGCCAGGATTCTGAAACAGGGAGCAAGCCAGGCTGTCTGGGCTGCTCTGAGCACAAGTGAAGTAGAAAAAAACTCTGAGAGAATCATTTAGATCAAAGCTACCAGCCCCATAGCCCAAATTCATCTGACCTGCCACATGGTTTAACTACAGATTGGTGAGATTTAAGAAAAAAGTTTTCTTCTTCCCATTGTTCAGGTGAAAAGAGACATTACAGTGGCCATGCTGATCACCGGAACTACAGGGTACAGTCATGGTGAAAGCAAAAAATAAAGCCAAATTACCAAATTTCATGCGGATATATTCATATGGATCCTCTTGCCAGAGCTCCTCATCCTCATCTTTGTAGCACATTAGAGAGAATATCACCTCCTCTGTTATGGTCTAATTTTAAAAAAGCCAAATACATGTAAGTACACATAAAATCCAATTCCAGTGCAGCTGCCCTCCCCCATGCACTAATTTATTAGACTTGTTTTTCTGGAGAGTTACATTCCTTTAAGCAGCACTCTTTTATTTTGTCTACCAGAAACAAATTCACATTATTATAGGTACTTACCTTTTGAAACAGGCCCAGACAGCAGCAGCAGTAGTTATACAATCTATCTTTATAATATTACATTACCATGCACAAAATACACTTCAGGACCTGGTCTGTACACAGCAGAATTACATTCTGCAGAAGGATCTCACCAATGCATTTCAGAGTCCTTCCCCATAGAAGTCATGGAATTAACTAACTACACAGGGGATCTTATGATATGAAAAAATAAAAGAGCAGGAAGATCACTTTTCATTTGTTCTTTAGTTCACTTATAAAACATGTCCTTAAAAGAGGGTTTAGCTCCTCTTAGATGAATGTTCTCTTTGTGCACTATCTTTGCACTACAACCAAAAATCGATGACAATTCTGAACAGCAGTAACTAATAAAAGCCAGAACACTATGACTTTCTAGCAGACTGTAAAAATTCAAATCAAGAACTTATGGAACAGAATCTTTGCTTGAGTTAACATTATCTGCAATAAAGGGTAGTCATATATTGCAAAATTCAACCACATTTGTGTAGAAATGCTATTTTATTTTCCAGATCAATTGCTGAATGATTAGTGAAACCTTCTTTAAAAACACAAAACTTGGGGGGCTGGGGGGTGTTTTTTAGCCCCTCTGATGACATGCATTGTTTATGACTGGGTTTTAAGCACTGACCTGTATGTGTGGCTTCATTTGCTTCCATGTGATAGAGTGAATCACCCCTTGGTTCAGATAATTCAATGTTTGCTGAAGAACACGTGGTGCAACATAGTCTTTTTGCCTGTACTGGTCTAAGATTCTTAAGAGAACCTAAAGAAGTGACAAATTGGTATTTTTAAATGAAGACTGAAAATTCTGCCTCATGCATAAACATGCAGTGCACTTCCTCAGTGAATATACATGAACAGATAAAGTAGTTTTACAGCAGATGTTCTAGCATTAGAAATCATTATAATGCCTTTGATCCAAAAATCATAAATAATTGAAATATCAAGGTTCTAATCCTGCAAACATTTATGCAGATGTCCACCTTTACTATTAGCTCTATCATGTGATCACTTGTGATTATAAACCAAAGATATACTTCAGTAGTGAGAGGCTCACAGTTTACAGAGGCCTCAGCAAAATCTGGAATAGGTGAGGAAAAGGCACAGTGAGATTTTCAAACTGGGGCTTCTATACCTGCTCAGTGGTGTCTGCATTCATATTTAATGACAGGTCCCTAAAGAAGACAAATTACTTTGGAAAAACAGTGAAGAGAATAGAAATACTAAACCAGGAAAGAAAAATAGGTTCACCTAAGCCTCTGAATCAGAAGAGCTGCAGACCCCTTAACTTCAATTACTTACTGTAGCCATCACCTGGCATGCTATTACCAACTCTATCACACAAAGCTTCCTTGGTAAAAAATTTTCCTCTACTAAGAAAAAACCACAGAACAAAGCCACTAATCTGCACCAATGGCAGGTGAATTAGTAAGTGTAAAGAAGTGGCATATACATGAATAACAATAAAAGTCAAGGGCAATGCATAACAAAATTTTGAGTCATATGCTTTCAGCAGAACAATTCTGCTCTGTAATTCTTCAGAACATTATAATAAATTTTATTTTGAATATAGCTCCTTCATTAGGAATACAGAGTTTGATGTTAAGTCTTTTATATGAAATGCTCCAAGGACAAGAACTGTCTGTATCTTATAAGACTCTAGCACAATGTCAGCACTTATCAACTGATGAATAAGTAACAAAGGCTTAGTCATGTAATATTTACAACAGAATTCTTACCAGTTCTGCAAGGAATAATGATAAATCACTATTTAAGAGTCAGAAATTGAAGAAATGGGCAGATCATCCAGTACATTTATCTTGAAAGCTAAACTGTCCCCTCTGCAATGTAGCTTAATACCTTAACAGAAAAACTTTAAGTATTTCAAATTATAACTGCCCATGGGAGTCCATTTTTCTGCTCAGAAGTTACACACTGCAAGGAATTTAGAAAAGATACTTGGCTATTTCTCTTTTCATTTAATTTACAGCCTTACCACAACCATTCCCCTCCTTAGTTCCTCCTGATGGATAAACTATTCTGTTGTCAGACTGGATGAAGAAGAGTAATTTTGTTTAGCAACTTTATCAGAACTGAACTGTCTCCACACACCATGTTAAAAACAAATAATTAGAAATCCTAACAAAAATAATTTCCTTGCAAAAGATGATTTTAGGTTATGGTTTCACATAATATGCTTTCCAGGAATAAAATAATGTTCACTGCTGTTCTCCAGACATCTTCTAATCTTGTATCTTTCTGAAATAAAACAGTGTCATTGGATTAGTGTCACAGGCCTGAAAATACACCCTTCTGTGAAATGAGGCCTCTGCACCAAAAGTGTTCCTCTCAGTTGTATCTAGAGTGCTTATACATGACAATAATACCATTTTATCAGCACTCACCTTTTCTGAGAGTTTTCCTGTAGTGTTTTTTGAGTTGTTGAAAAATTGTTATTATACCTCAGCTGTATGGCACTGAGTTCTAAAGAACTTCTCAGTCACTACAAGGAAAACCTGCCAGATTCTCATCATTTTTGTTCAATAAATGAACATCAATACAAGCACTGTTAAAAAGTAATACATTTCTTCAGTCAAAAAAATGCAATTCATAAAAAATGATCTGTGCTTACCTGTTGTATGCCCACAGCATAGGTTTTTAAAAAGAAGTCTGAGAATTCAAAGTATTCTTTAGTCACATTTCCAGGACTTCCATATCTTTAAAAGGAAAAGGACACAAATATTTACACTGTGAGAAGTGCATGGTGTCAGGAAAATACAGTACTTCCTAAACCATACAGGACCCTGAGTGGTCTTGGATCAGCAAAGGAAAAATTTACCAGATTCCTTCAAAGCCATCCTTTCCCATGTAACACCTCACTTCCCTTTTCTTAAATGATCCCAAGGTAAGATATTATACTCAAGTAAACATGGCTTTTTGTCACAAGCTCTCTAACTTCCATGTTTATGGATTTCTTTTCAAATCTTCCCCTGCCTTTATGTTTGTTAATATAAACACTTGTAGCTGAGTGTATTAAAATAAATATGTAGATAAATAGATTTACTTTTCCTGTGGGGCAAGTTTCTTGCCATCTTAAGGGTGTCAAATCATTTCACTAAGAGCTGAGACCAGCAGTTGTGCCAGAGCAGCAGCAGGAAAACATCTTCAGTGACCAGGAGCTGTTAAATTGCTCAAAGTATCTTCTCTACTTGCATGCCCAGTAATGGTACAGACCTGTAACCCAAATTTAGTTTCTAACCAGTCACCTTTCAAAGAGACGAGCTACAATATGCAATGCCCACTTTTTGCATTTCCACCACACCAGCTCTGGTCTGTCATCTTCATCAATTTGCAAAGTCTCCTACAAACAAATACATTAATTTTAAATTAGTTATGTCATCTGTTGAGAAGCAATTATGTTTTAAATATTCCTTGCTAAGTAAACTAATATAAAGACACAGCATGACTAAAGCTTTGATTTTGTTAACAGTTATATGAGACTCAGGAATTTTCAGTTATCTTAATTAGGCAGTATAATGTCTATGTGCAACACCTGCACAATGCCTGTACTTTAATTTTAAAATTGTGCATATTTAAAAAATGCAAATTCTCAGATACACTTGAATACTACATCGCTCTGGCTCAAAAATCTAAGGATAAGAATGTTAAAAACACTTAGAAAATCTTTCCACTGACTGCTCCTCAAATGCCAACACACAAGATTCAGAGGTCTTCACAAAGCTAGAACTCACCAGAGGTACATTTCTATCAATGATGGTCCGGAAGATCTCCATCCACTGAGTCATAGTCTGGTTATTCACCAGCTGGAGGGGCAATGCATACTGCAATAAGGGAAAAAACACAGCTATGAAATACTATTTTTCTCTGTAAAAGGCAGATCTTTCTGCAGAAGTTACATTCTAAGGAAGATGAGGTTTTAAGTAAAATTAAAACCAATTAGGTTACATATCAACACTAATTGCATTTCTCTAGGTACAATTTGAAAGGGAATTTCTGAGCAGACACAATTTGAGGAAAGTTCCTCAGTCTAAGAACCTGCCAACCATCTTTGTTTTTCTTCTTCACAATAGCCCAGGTACTTTTTAGGATTACAGCAGTATCAGTATCACAGGGCTTTGGCAAACTAACAGCATTTTAGCAAGCAAAACGTACTCACTGTACAGAACCAGAGGACACAGCCTTAAGCTGCACCAAAGGGAATATAGTTTGGATATTAGGAAGAAGTTTTTCATGGAAAGAGTGATAAAGTACTGGAATGGCCTGGCTGGGGAGGTGGTGGAGTCACCACCCCTGGATGTGTTTAAAAAAAGACTGGATGTGGCACTCAGTGCCATGGTTTAGTTGAGGTGCTGGGGTATGGGCTGGACTCAATGATCTTGAAAGTCTCTTCCAACCTGGTCATTCTGTGATTCACTACTACTACCCAGCCACTATCCCATAAACCTCACTTCTCTACAAAATCCAAAGAAAAGTAACAATATTCAGCCAAGTTATTGAAAAGAAAAATAGAATCTTGGTATTTTTTAAATTCTCCATCCATTTAGTAACAAAGTATTTTAGCTTTTCAACACACCCTAAGGATTTTCAGGCTGTTACTTAAGAAGGATCTGGTTTGGTTTCTGATTGTAAGTACTCCTTCACAAAAAACTCATCTCAGTAAAATCCAAACCTATCTCTCTGAGGTGCATGTGCCTTAAAACATAGTATCTGCCAGATTTTCAGCAGGTAATGAAAATGCCTCCTAGTGAAGTGCAACATTTGACAATGACACTACAATATTCATTACTGACACTTTCAGAGACCAACCACATGGTCTAGATACCTAGTTTGTAGCAGGCTATTTGCAACTTTATAAAAATAGGAACACTTCTCTAGTGAGCTTACAGATACAATGTGCAGAAGCACCCTGCATTCATAAAAAATTTAATCTGGGTGATGATGTGACCAGCTTCAAGGTAGAAAAATCTATAAATATCCTACTTCTATAACAGCTGTTTATTGTACATGACTTTTCCCATCCAAAAGGGTATTCTTATTCTATCACATCTCTGAAAGTAGTGAAGGAGGTCCTTGTGCCTAGCAAAGTAAAAGTTTGTTTTTCCTCTACACAGATGCCAACCTGGACAAGAGCATAGAAGATTTTTAAGATTTGTTTCTGAAGCAGCACAGAGTAATGGGAGTTATCAGGCAGAAGCTGGATCATCTGCTGCTGAATCCGAGGCAAAAATATTTGCATGGCTGCTATGAGGGGATCTCGTTCCTCTGCCTTTTTGTACCTGCAATGGAAACAAAAATGTTGATCCAGGATCTACACACTGGTGATTCTAATGTCTATTCCCCACCAACAGTTTAATTTTGGTGCCCTAAATAAAATAACAAAAAAAGAATATCCAGCACTCACTCAATCACTCTCTCCTCCTCTAAGCCCCATCTGAACCCTTTGTGCAAATTCACTAAAAATACCTATAAATAAAAAAATGGAAAACAATAAACATTGCCTTACACAAAGGCAGTTACTGAGAGGAAGAACTGCTGTTCTTTACTACTTAATTGTCACCTCACAGGAGCAGGGATTTGAATTTCTCTGCTGTTCATACCAATGCTAAACCCAAGTTGGGTGCTGAACAAATGGGAGTGAACAGCCATTGAAAGGGAAAGACAATTCCTTGCTTTGGAAAACATTCTCTTTCTCCATTTACATTCCTTTTGTGTGGTTTATACATATGTTTCTAACAATAGGCAATTAAAAAAAAAGTGATAAGCCCCACTACACTGCTCCTAATTTATGCTGTGTGGATTTAGACTTCCTGCCAGGAAGATGCTACAGGTAACAATATGCAATAGCAGTATGTGACAATGATAGCACTGTATTCATGACATAAAAGCAGAAAATAATTTGCATTCATACATTTAGAATTTGGGGTATCCTCGAACAAAGAAAGTTATAATCCTAAGGATATTTTTTTACAGCCAGATCCAAAGTATAAAGTCTCAAGAAAAAAGTTGCAGTAAATCCATACAGACTATTGCTGGCAGCTCTGCTTTCAATTCACTAATGATACAAAGATGATGAATATTTTTCATTTATTTGCAGGAAAGGAAGCATTTGATAATTATTAATTCCCATTTTCTGTCTGAAATCCCTTGTAGAACTGCCAGTGCTCTTAAGAATGTAGTTTTCAGCAATCAACTTAGACTGAAATTACCAATTCCTCATTTACTGATGGACATCAACTTACTCATAAGTCTTCACCAGCTGATAGAGGCACAGGAGGCTCCCAAGCCAGCTGCCACTGTTTGGAGACTGCAGGTAGTATCCTATCTTGTCTACCACAGCTGTCCAGTGGCCAGGGAAGTCATGTTTAATGATGGCACGGAGGCACATGGTCAGCTGGGCTCTAGTGCAGGGGGAGAAAAAAAATTAATTGAATAGGGTCATGGCATAGTGTTTAAATTAAAGGATAAGTCCCAAATCTGGGTTTATTGGCTACAATACCTATATTGTGTCATAAGCATCAAACATATTTTGACAGCACTGAAAGAGTTCTGCGAGTAGCAGAGGAAAAGAAAGAAAAAAGAGTTCTGGAAGTAGCAGAGGAAAAGCAAGAAAAAAATCCGACTGGATTTAACGTAAAAGAATAAATTAATTTCAGAAGATTTTAGCTACTTTTCTCCCTCCCCCTTCACATGCATCAAGCAGTATTTTAAAAGAATTACTTGCTCATGGAACCAGCTAGCTTTGTGCTTTGACAATGAATGTTTATACTTGCTTATCAAGCTGAAAGCAACCACAAAAACGCAAATTTGTATGTTTTCATTAAAGAATAATGGCCTGTGTTATGATTCAAGCCACAGGCTCCTCAAGAAATTACAATTTTCCTGGGACCTTCTAGAACAGCACTTTCTCAACCTCCAAAGCATATGGCAGAGCCAATTAGTTAAACATCATCTTACTGTTTCTCTCCTGCCACACATTTTTAGATGCCACTCACAATGGGGAAGCAAGACAGAACTGTTGATTGACTAAACTGAGGTGTGATTAAAAAAGCTGAGCAGCACTGAACTAGAACCTGTGGAGAAATACTTTTAGTTCTGCTAAGTAATGAAAAAACAAAGCCTGTAGAAAATATCAGTTCCCATCTATCAGCCTCACTTGAATTAAAGGGGTGAAAAATCATAACTGTATTGTGTTTGAGATTCTTAACTATTCTTCCAGCAAAAGCAGAACCACAATTTTTCATTCTTTTAATACCTTAAAACCAAGAACCCCAATACATAGTTAAATACTGGGGTTACAGATAAAAATCGATAAAGTAATTAAGGAAAGGGCTACTAGAAAAAAGGAATCTTGGACAGTATTTCCCTGAATGGTTAATTCCACATTGCAGACAGCCCTGAATACACTATCTGCCTGGAATAAGCCAAACAGACAGGCTGTTACTACAGCAAATGTTACAAGACACTTTGAACACCCTTAGAGGATAAACCACACCACAGGGCTCACTGCCAGGTTACTACTTTTCTAAAAAACACCTATGAATAAGTGTAAACAGATTATTATTACTTTGGCTAAAAAAGTACTTGTCTCATCTTCCAAAACATAGAGATTCTCATCTTAACTGTGGTGGTGCTCACGGGGGGTCCCAGGATGAGGGAAGGAGATGAGAATGTTGACTCCATATTTCAGAAGGCTGATTTATTATTTTATGATATATACTATATTAAAACTATACTAAAAGAATAGAAGAAAAGATTTCATCAGAAGGCTAGCTAAGAATAGAAAAGAAAGGAATGAACAACAAAGGCTTGTGGCTCAGACAGAGTCCAAGCCAGCTGACTGTGATTGATCATTAATTAGAAACAACCACATGAGACCAATCACAGATGCACCTGTTGCATTCCACAGCAGCAGATAACCACTGTTTACATTTTGTTCCTGAGGCCTCTCAGCTTCTCAGGAGAAAAAATCCTAAGGAAAGGCTTTTTCATAAAACATGTCTGTGACATACAACATCAGACTGGCAGGTGTGAAAACCTGAGCAGCAGAAGCATGTGTGTGCAATGTAAGGTACCTGACTAAGTCAGGAGAACGAATGATTCCCTCCACAATGTTATCCCGAATCTGCTGCCGATCGTTCTCATGGATGTTAAACGGGAAAACCGCTTCTCCAGGGGGTGGCTCACGGTCTGGCCAGTACTGGGTCACCATGTTCTTCAGGTAAATGGCAGCTAAGGACAGACAGCACGGAAAGCATAGTTAAATTCTAAAGAAAAAGAGTAATTTAATTCTACACATTGCCCAGTGCTCAACATGCAGAATGGCTAAAAGTAGAACAAAGAGTTGAAAAGACAACTGAAAACCACCACCTGAATTCTTAACAATTATGTGCACTGAGCACAGCTGAATCAGAAAAATTTTTCTTATGATTTCACACAAGATCAGGCTCAAGCACCTGATCAGAACAGACTAAGATAATACTTCCATCAGCATCTATCAAGGTACATTTTTACAACAGTAGTCTTCCATAAGAAAATAATATAAGAAAATACTTCCATCATTCTAAACAAGCCAACAAAAATGTACTTATGTGTGTTTTCACTCACTCCTGAAACAAGGACTCAAGCTCAGTAAGTGAAGTTTTGGAACGCTCGTGCAAACAAATCACTGCACACACAGATGGGACACTGCTTGGGGAAATGCCCAGTATGAAACTGGCACATGGCCTACCTTCTATTCAGACAGAAATGTTTGTTGTGAATTCCCTAAGCTTTATTTCACTATTAGGATTTCCCATAATACCTCTGAATTGTTCCCCTCTGTCTCACATGAAAAAAACAAGAAAAATAAAGTTAATCTTCAACAGAAAATAAAGCAGCATTAATGCATCAGTACTAAAATGCCTGAAGGCATTCTTCAGGAAACATAAGAAATATGGTATGAGGCATTAAAGGAATGTTCTTAATAAACTCTTATGCCTGGACACTGTTTTGGTTGATTACTAGCTAGGGTTTTAAAGTAGAAATAAGATATCCTTGGGTACAATCATTTCTTTTAGTGATAAGAAATTGCAAAGCATGAAAATATGTAGTCTGTAAAATGTTTTATAGGAGCAAGAGGAAAAAAGCTCTTTGTCTATGACATGCCAGACTAGTCAGACAAGAAACAGTCCTGAAAGACCAGCCCAAGACTTTAATTCATTTTGTCCATAGATCTTGTTATTATACAAATTTTTTGCTTTTAAAAAATTCCCAGGGAAATCTGTTGGCTTGCAAATATGACTTAAATGTGCATCTCCGTTTTACACCTCTCTTCTCTATATAAAAAAAATTACATTCTACATAGTTGGTTTTTTCCCTGAATGGTATTGAAATGAGAGATTAATTTATAAAAATGACCTTATGGAGTTTAGATTAAGCCTCAAACTTTATCACAGAATGGACTAACAACACCATTCAAAGTTGGATTATCTTTGAAAAAATAAAGGCCAGCATGACAAACAGAATATGTCAGCACGCTCCAAAGCACTCAGAGGATTAATGGGATCTGCACAAAAAAAACCCCAACAGTGCTTCTATGGGAAATGCTGTTCCACAGGATAAAAACAAAGCTGTGAATGAAACAGTATTAATTAATTTACTGAAAGGCCTGAACAGTCTCTGTACCTGACAAACATTACAGAGGAGTAGTTAAAATGGATTATGAGAACTTAGAATCTGATCTTCCACAAATGCATACACTAAAGTTAACTGCACCACTACACCTGAACTCACACACACAGCTGAGCAATCCTTCCAGACATGCTCAGACTGTAACTGTGCAACCTATCAGTGATGTGGCCTTCCTTCATATCTACTTATTCAAGCCACCAAGATACTGACTAAATGTGTGTGGCTACCCTTGATCTGGGAATTAAGGAGTGATTTCCCTTTTACAGAAATTTTCACTTTTCCAGAGAAAAGAGATTCAAATAGAGAAACACGCACTCAAATGTGATACCCTTTTCTATTTTTAAATTCACACTTGTCTTGGCATCATCACTTCTGTACCAGCAGGAGAAATAATACCTAAGGGTTCTCAGTTCTGAGTAGAAATCATGCTTTGCTCCTATCAGTATCACAGCAATCCAGCAGGGATCACTATACACACAGGGAAAGCCAAAGTAGGACTCTATCCTATACCCATGGTTTCATGCGACCCTCACGATGAAAAGAAACAGCAAAGATAAATCCTTTTCATTTCTTCCCCAGAGCAAACCTGAACTGCCTTACATTGCAACAGTTCCAGAGTCTGTTCAAGGAGCAGAGTGACTGAAATAAAAGGGAACAAGAGATTTCATCTCACCTGCTTGACGCACTGGAAATTCAACCTGATCAGATACGATGATTTGCAGCAGGCTTGGAGCAAAGTTGATGATCTTATAGGACTGAAACACACAGACAACACAGTTAGTAAGTCACTATGTTTAAAGCAGACTGCATTAGCAAATGCTGAATGATGAATATAGACTAAGGATTTTGCACTGCATTTGCATCCTCCTCATGATGGATGAAAGGTTTTGGGAGTTGAATTTACCCAGACCTGCAGAAATCCAAATAATTCCTTGTAAAAACAAAGCATGTAATTGCACATGGGCAGAATAAGTAATGTGAAAAGGTTATTTATCAGTTACAGATTAGTGATAAAGAATATTTAAACAATTCTAAGAATACATAGTGAACAGCACTAGATGACTGTCTTTGAATTACTCAACTTAGCTCCTTAAGTCACACAGACATTGACAAGCTCCACCAATAAATGTCATTTATTAGCAAAACAGTGTGTGGCAGAACAGCAATAGCAAAGAGATTTTTAAAAATCATTTAGAATTGTTTTCAAGTGTAAACAGCATCTGCATTAGCCATATACAATTATCTTTTAGCAAACTAGATGTATAGTGCATCTCAATAAAAACTGGGGAAACAGTGGGACAAACATTTTCAATTAAAATCAAGTGTAGGCAGATAACACTTCAAAATCCACAGCCTTCATGGGAACTTTTCAAACGCTACATCAGCCATGCAGCTGAAGAATTTCAAAGAGAAAACAATGCTCAGTGAACTTCTGAGCAAAGCACACCAGATTTAAAAGATGTGACAACCTGATAGCTTTATCCTGCTGCCATCCACCAGGGCTCCTCCAGCGAGGAATCGCTGACTCAGCGTGCTGCAGTTACTACTAAGCCTTGGCAGATCAGTGCTGGTAGGTCAGATCTTTCACCCCTTGGATCCATGTGTTTTATGTTCAAAGAGAGGTTTCTCAGGGCTAGATGGCAGCAGCTTTCTGTATTTCACCTTTTATAGTGTTTCTTCCCACTAGATTATGCCTGGCAGTTCTATGGTTGCTCCCAGAGTTGTGCTTAAAGGACAAGTATTGAACATCCTCCTACAGAACTCTGCCTCATTCAAAAGCTGTGAAATAAAAGATACTTTCTGCCCTTCATGTCCCCAGCTCTTTGATCTACCATATCCATAACAAGGTGAAATCACACTGCTTTCATGATGCCTAAGTGTCCCAGCTGCATCGCGACACTATCATTCAATAATTTCACCAAATCACTTAACTTTCTGGCCCTCATTTTATTCACTGTAATGATAGTGTAATTCTAACTCAGAGACTCATTTGATGTTTATAGAGTAATCTGAGATCTGAGATAAAAGGAGTAGTGGCAAATCAAAAGCATACTCTCCTGCAATTTCCTTCTCTATAAACTTTAATTATCCCTAAGAAACGTTCCAAATAAAGTAAAAGCTGTAACATCCAGCACAGGAACTCCATTTATCTACAGACATGCTGAACTTGTTGAAGCATACTGGATTCCAAAGGTCACCTTTTAATCCAGTAGCCTGGAGTACAAAGCTTGCCCTTCAGTCACTACTGGACAACATTGGTGTGTTCTGACAGGGCCACAGTCAACTGCAGCATCCTCCAGCACACAACACCCAAGCTGCACGGAGGTAAGGAAAGCATGAAAAATCACAGCAGCACAGAAACCCAAAACCATGCATGAACTCTAACCGTCCTTTTTGTTCTCAACAGTGCCTGTACACTGCTCTCAGACCCAATCTACAAAGCTTTTACTACTATAAACACACCAATTAAAAATGCAGCTTTGTGGGGGGTGTTTTGTTGTTGGTGGTTTCCAGCTGCAATCCCACCAGTACCACATTTAGGCTGGACACAAATTGTGCTAACAATATTATTCCCCTTTCCCTGGCCTAACAGTTTTTACTGAATCTCCATTAAAACCACTGCTAGGTCAGGAAGCTTTATGAGTACTACTTGTGCTGGTGCACAACTGCTCTCCCTGAAGTTTTGCCAGGATCCACACAAATACGGTCATTTGCCTCCGTGCCAGACGGGCTCAGCAAGCACCCGGAGTGACAAAGCCCCGTGCCGCAGGCGGAGGGACAGTGTCCCCGAGGGGTGCCATCCCCAGCAGCACAGCGCTATGTGCGCGTCTTTACACCTCACACACCGCCACCCCTGCAGAGATCGCCGGGCCCATTAAATCCTTCTGTTCCCTTCCATTGTCACGCCCGGAATTTAGGTTTTTACATAGCTCTGTTTACTACTCGTTATCGGAAACAAGAAGACTGTAGAGATCAACAGAGACTGTGAGCCCACGTTAGAAACAAGACACACGATTCTGTTGTATTTGTGAAGCTCGAATTACATCCTGCTCATTTGTGCAGCAACAAACCCGGGTCAGGAAAACTACATGCTGCTTGCAGTTTTTAGAACAGAGGACTTTTTAAAAAGCTGCATGCAGCAACATTTTTCCTATACCAGCACATTCTCGTCTGTTTAGTTGTCATGCTAATAGTGATCTTGGGATGTGTCCCTTCCCTGCGTTGCTCCGGACATCAGCAAACAAAGCTGCACCCATCACAGGAGCAGGTGCAGAGCAATTGTCAGGTGTATATTGTGACATGGAAATGGACGTGGAAGAGACCTTGGAGCTGGATGAGTCCAACAAGACAGTTCTTTATATCACTGCAGCGGCACCTTAACAAAAGGAGAGCAGAAATATTGTCAGTGCCACAGGAGGAACACAAAACTATCTGCTGATTTTGAAGAGCTGTGCCCAGGAGCCGCAGGGAGCCACCAGATGGCTGAAATACACCTTCAGCACAACGCCCACAACACAGCACGGGCCTTTGTGCACTTGGTGAATAATCACACTGCCCTGAACCCACACTGCTGGGATCCGGGAAAACTTCTTGTCAAAGTGCCGATCCGCTGGGGCACGAGTTTATTTTGAAAGAGAAAGTGAAAGTTTTTGAAAAGCAAATTTTCACTGAGTACTTACAAAGAGCAATTATGTTAAAGGTGTGTAAAACACATACAGGCTGCTCTTGTATGAATCCCAGATTGGAGCATTTATCTTAAAAGAGAATCTCACTTAATTTCCACTGGGATTAAGAGGATGGGATACAGCAGTGTGCAAGGCTAGCAGCTACACTGGGAAAGGTATAATTGGGAAGGCATAATTGGGTAAATTTACAGTGGTAGAGATGTATATGAGCCATGCATGTTGTTCCATCTGTGTCTACTCTCTCAGGATCTGTGCACTGCAGCTGCACAGCTTTTCGCACTCTGTTCCTTCCCTGTGTCACCATCACAGCTCCAGGCTTCAAAAGATCAGAGAACACATCTTTTCTGCCTATCTCCTCTTCCATTTGATTAGGTACAGAACATATGACAGACAAGTGAGCCTCAGATGGGCCACTGAAAAACATCAAGATGAAGACCATCACTTATAAAGGGCCAGAACACAAGGAGAGATAAGTAGCAAAAACTACATTAAAATCTCCCCAAATGGATCCTACTGAAGCAAACACTTCTCACATCTAATGTTCATATTTGGCTCCCAGGTTCTCACAGATCATACACTGCCAAACTCATTTCATGAAGCATTATTCTTGTGTCTTGCTTGCTGTCACATTCAAAGACCAAAACTGCTCCAGAACCTTCCCACTGTGCTGATGGCAGCCACAGTGCCTGAGTGCAGAATGGCACTGAAAGGTGCTGCTTCCCCTGCAAAACATCAGGACACTCTAGCACAATGAATATGGGAAATCTGGAAGCCTTCCTTCACATTCTGCAAGCTCAAATCATCCTTCTCCACCAGTAGTAAACATCATTTTTGTACCTCTGAATATAAGAATGGCACATAAAAAGAGCTGAAAAACAAGGCACTGCATCTCTGTTTGCAAAAACAAACACACAGAAGAAATTTGTACCCTGAATTAATGAGCAATGAACTTTTTACAAAGATAATTTCAAGGCTTAAATACATCTGATCCACGTGCTCAGCTACCAGGTCTACCAAGTCTTATTTTCTGTTTCTGAGTACTGAAAATGTATACTTAAAAATTCCACTGGCAAGCTTAGGAGTATTTCTGCAGTTGTTAATAGCATTTCATTCCGGTTTTTTTACACTGTCAGTCAGAGACAGTTGTTAAAACAAACCAGAACTTCAAAAGATACTTTTTTCTTTCCCTGCCTATATGCAAAGATACTAAGTAGGGTGGGGAAAACACTGTTTTCACAGAGAGGGAAAATAAGCCTGTGTAAGAACCCACCTGAATTTCTTTCCTGTATGGGTTCTGCTGCCAAATTCATCCAGTATCAAAGAAACTTCACTTTCCATATAACTTTTAATTATCCAAGTCAACTTCCTCATCAAATTGGTCTCAGATTTTTCCCTCTGGAAAAAGGTATCGTGAAGTGCTCACTGGCACTTACAGAGTGGCCTTAAGATCCCTGCCTACTATAGCAGCCAGCTCAACAAAGATGTGGAAAGATTTGGAAGGAAGCCAAACTTTATTCTGGATTCTTCTGCTTTTGGGTAATCTTTTCACACTTCTTCCAGCACTGCTACTCAGTTGCTGTCAAAGCCAAATTATGTAACTCCTACTCAATATTTAAAAAGCCCAACTGTATCTCTGCAATTGAGTTCTTGTTCTCTCCTTTGCTACAGGCCAAAGGAATGTGTTACTGCATGTTGGGGCACTAAAGATTAATGTATAAAACCTGTATGGGAATCCTATCTGAACTGGAATTAGAATGACTCAGTATGTTCACTAAAGTATATTTCACAGCACTCCAAGAACTGGCACATGAAAGCAGTATATAACCATAATATAAATAAATAAATGAACCCAGCAAAAGTCCTTGAAATCCATGAGACAGACGTAACAGGAGTAATAGCCTGGAACAGATACTGACAAATGATGCACAGAAACTGAGTCCATTTCTTGGTATGATACCTAACCATTCTACCAAGTACAGTGTGAGTGATAAATATCATCATCAAGTGCACTCTAATTACATTACAGAGTTGAACTAAAAAAAGGCAGGGCAGGGAAGCAAAAGAAAAATAGGGGGAAGGAAAGACATGTACACTTAGAAACCCAAGAGGCTAAAAGGGAAATGGCAGCAATTACATGAGATAGACACTGACTTGGCAGGAAACTGCTCCAGTTTAGCAAGAATCAGATTTCAAATAAATCCCACACTTACAGTTGTGTTCAGACCACAGAGAGAAGTGAAGTTTGTTCATGATTTCAAAGTAGCATCAAGCAAGGAGAAAGATCAGAAAAATCCTACTAAGAACTGAATGATCTATAGGAGTGCATCAACACAAATGGAGTTGGGTAAAAGGCCAAAGTACACAGTCAGGGACTCAAGGATGACAGAACTTCTCCTGAAAACTGGAGGTTTGTGAGTGAAGAAGAACAAGAATAAAAGGATCAGGGGACTTTGGTATATTGAGTAATAAGAAACATGCAGATGTTGGACACAAAGAAGATAATTGTAGATTTAGTATTTAATGAGGTATTAGCAGCTTTGAGCACAAGACTTTCTGGAACACTGCAAACACAAATGACCAGACTCCACAAGAAGGATTACTTCAAAGGGAAATTAGTGGAGAGAAGAGCTGTGCTCCTCTTACTAGATTTCATAAATTCAGCTTTATGATATGGCAAAGGAAACACAGCCTGCTGAGGCCAGAAAAACAGGCACTAGGGGATCAGCCTCTGACAAAGCTGACAGAGAGGCTATCAAGAAACCTGAAGTAAGGTTGGCACAAATGGATATAAATGGACCATAAACCAATTTTGGCTGAAAACCAACACTTGTTTCTAGCTGCAAGAGGAAGAAAACTCACAAGCAGCCTTCTAATAGATATAAAAAGGACCAAAAAAAGGGATCCCAATTCCATTTCTGAATGCACTTAGGTTACAATTCAGGAGGCAGACAGCAAATTCATTGATTTGGGTGTATCTTTATGCAGGTGCAGGAACATACAGAGGAGAAAGAAGCATTTTCAAACATGCTGGGACTTCTTACACATAGAAAAGCTTTCATTCATGTAAACTCTATCCCCCATGCTCTACACTGCAGGCAAACTGGAGTCAGGGCTATTAGGATATTGCTCTGAAGGACTCTGCACTGGAGCAGCACTGGGGTGCCCACAGGCAGGCACTGTCCTGGTGCACTGGCAGGATTTGCAGGGTCTGGGCAGCTCCTGGGCTCAAAGCTCAATGCCAGGGCACGCTGCAGATGAGCCCACACAGGCAGGTTTTACCTCAGCACCCCTGTAACTATGACACAGAGCAAAGGTGACCCCTGTGCTGTTCAGCCAAGGGCTCCATCACCACTTATTGACAGAGAATTTTCTGTTTGGTTGGTGGACTGGTCCCTTTGCTAGAGCAGCACCTGGATTGCAGCCCTTGCAGGAGCACAGGGACATGTCAGCACTGCCATCAGATACAGGGGAGGGGAGTCTGACACGTTGCTTTGAAGCCTTGCTTCAAAAGCACTAAAAAGCTTCAAGATGTCAAAGTCCCACTTGAGCAACGTTGCTCAGGAGCACTTTTGTTCCTCTCATCCAGAGTCATGTCAAACCCAGCACATTATGTCACATACATCATGCTTCACCTAGTAACAGGAAGACTGCACAAAAATAGGAATGTCTCAATTCCAGGATTCATTCTTCATAATAGTTAGAAAAAAGAAAATGCATCAAGTATTTCGAAAGAAAATTCTGCATCTCAACCTGTTCTCAGTAAGTCTGCTTGCACTCTTGAATCTAAAACCTGTGTCTTTCATGAGAACTGCACTATCCATCACTTAAACTTAGAACATTTTACAGCTCTCAGTCTTAAAATGCTTTCAAGACTGTTCCTGAGCTTCCCAGTACTTACTGGTGATGACAGCGTTAGGAGCAGGACCCAGGAGCTGCCTTTGCTCTGAACAGAACACTGTAGCAGCAGCAGTTTGTATTGTTGTTTAGACTGCTGTGCAACAGGCTGCTTACAAATACTCGTCATTTCTCTCTCAGCCCTTAACAGCAGGGATAAAAACAGATACTGATACAGTTATAAGGTAACTATGCCAAAAAGAGGAAAAAAGCCTTGCATCCTTATCTAAATATTCACAAGAGCATTTCCAATGCCCAGCACTTAATCCACTGATTTACTAAAGGAATTTACCAACGGCTAAAGCAAGGATTAGCTATATCTAATTCAGAAGGAGTTTTAAGTTGCCTAAATATAAAACTAAGCTGGAGGAGCAATCCTGAATAGCATAATTCCTGACAACCAATTCTCACTGACTATTTTGTTAACACACCAACACACCCAAAAAATCCCAAGTCCTCGACGAGAATTGATCACATATTCCATCAAAGCATAGAAATTAAAGTTTCATTAATGCTCTGCAAGGGAACTTTCTCTTTTCTCAAAGGTTCAAAGGTTGGGGTCACAGTTTCATTCAGTGCATACTGCTGCTACTCCAGGAAAATGTTTTTTCCCCCAGAGGGTGTTGGGCACTGGAACAGGCTCCTCGGGGAAGTGATCACAGCACCAAACCTGACAGAGTTCAAGAAGTGTTTGGACAACACTCTCAGGCTCATGGTGGGATTGCTGGGGACGGTGCTCGGAGCAGGGCCAGGGCAGGACTCGATGATCCTGACGGGTCCCTTCCAAGTCTGCATACCCCGTAACTCTGTGAATAACTGCAGGATGCCAGGACATCACTGCCCACGAAACCTAAGGCGCCTTGCTCCAAGCTCCCCTCGCCGTGCGGCCGGACGGGACAGAACGCGCCCCCGAGCGTCACTGCCGTCCGTCCCGTGAGCGCCAGGGCCACAGCAATGTCATCCCTCCAGCGTCGAGCGGCAGCGCCCCGGCCACGCCGAGCGCCGGGCTGCCGCACTCGGGAGCGCCCGGAGTCCCGGCACCGCGGGCAGCGCCGAGCGGGGGCAGCGACCCGCCCGGTCCCGGTCCCGGCCCCGCTGAGGGCGGGCAGGCGGTCCCGGCGCCGAGCACCGCTCGCCCCCCGCCCCTGGCGGCGGGGCCGGACGCCCCCGTGCCGCGCGTGGGGCGGGCCGCCCGCGGGTCCCCCCTCACCTGGTTGAGCTCGTTCTCGGCGGCGACGCGCAGCTTGGGGTCTATGGTGCCCTTCAGCGCCTGGATGATCCTGTTGGGATCCATCTCGGCCTTCGGCCGCCGGCAGGCAGCGCTTTCCCGGGGCAGCAGGACGCGCAGGAGCCGGCGCTAGCGCCGCCGCCCCCCCGTGCCACCAGCGCGGGCCCGCGTCCCCCACCCCCCCCGGCCCCTCTCCACAGCCATTCACCGGTTTGCGACAGCTGGAGATCGGGAAACGGGCGCTGCTTTACGGCCGCGGCGCCGCCTTCTGGCTTCGGGAAGGGGTCGGCGAGAGGCGGCCGCCATCTTGTTGTACGGACAGGAGCGCGCCGGCAGGGCGGCAGGGGGCGCGGTCTGCGGGCCGCGGCTCCATGGGGGCCGCCATGGCGCTGTACGGAACGGCGGGGGCGGCTCCCGCTGCGCCCTGCACGGGTTATTTTTAAATCAAGATTTTAAAATCCCATTTTTCTTTCTTAGTAGTTTTTCTAGGTAGCCTTTCAGCTTTCATGGCAGGCTTGGGCGCTCTGTATTTGTTATCCCGCGGGACAAGAATGAAGAGTGAGAGCACGGAGGCTGAACGGGATGATGAGGTCAGGTCCATGGAGGAGAAGTGACCCTGGTCACACTTATCCAGGTGCCCTGCGCAAGAACGACTGACAGCACCCAGGAAGGCAAATTTGCTGCGAGGGGTTTACTAAAACACACAGTTGGGTCACACGTCTTAATTCCTATTCTGCTTCTGAGCAGCTTTCTGTGTGATACTTGTCCTCATCATTATGTATATTAGTAGAACCTGGAAAGGGTTTGCTTGTGTGTGAGAGGGGGTGGGACATGCTTACCCTTCAGCTGTCAGCAATATACAAACACCACCTCCAACGCTTCAAAACACCTGCCCCACCCTGATTCTCCACCTCTTGCCTGTTATTTCCCCCCTTAAATCCTAGAACGTGCTAGTGAACCAAAGGAAGATTTAAGTGCAGATGTAAGAAAGATGTCTGTCAAAGGTGTAACTCTCAGGTAAACAGACCAGAAAAACTTCTGACTAATGTGGTTTTGGTGAGCCAAATCCTTTGGTTACTTCTGCAGGTGATGTTTCACATAATGTATACAAACCAGAGACGTGTGATTAACTGGTTGGAAGAACAGAAGGACTATTTGCTGTGCTTAGAAGGAGTGAAACAGAACAGCAATTACAAGATCATCCCATTAAATAGGTGTCTTAATAATACAGTTGGACAATATGTCATTTGTTAATTGTAATTGCAGTGTAAACCAAAATGTTAAAGCAGCTGGCACTAGAGTGATTTACTAATAACTTTTAAAATGTCCCTTAGTAACTTTGCCTCTAATTAAAAAGGAATCCAGCTGTCACAATAAATTGCACCTACCTGGCACAAGGAGATGTGCTTTCTCTTGTGGTTTTCATCACCTTTTGAAGTGTTGCAGAACATCTGATCATTATCTTTCCTTTCACCTGGGATGCAGGTCTACAGCAAGAAATCTTAGGCACTTCCACTGACCTTTCCCTTTCTTCTTAAAAGGAGATGGGAGTATGCTCAGTAATCATAAAATTCAAACAGAAACAATGTTAGTGTAAAAAGTTAGTGTACACATTATTAACTATGGTAATTCTTTGTTGCTGTCTCATTTTGATTAAGCTAATAAATTGTCCAGGGAAAACAGCCCACTTAAAAAAATCTTGGATTCCATATCATAGCAAATCCAAATTGCAAAAGGATTTGTAGTGGTGCATCTCTATTCCATTTTCCCAAATGACCATGTTATGGACTGTTAAGGAGCAGTTCTGTTTAATTCCATTTCTGTGTATTCATCCATGGTAGGTGAGCTTAAAAGTTATTAAATTTATTTATTGAAGGACTTCTGTAGAACTAGTGATGTCAAACATACCAATAAAGAACAGAATATCCTTAAAGGGTATTATAACATCTTCCTAAAATGAATTTTATTGCACTTACCACTTTATTTAAAATGGTACTTTCAGTGTTGCAAGCATTGTAATCTACCTGTTTCCTGGGTTTTCTGGATGCCAAATACTTCCTTCTGTACAACATGAACCTTCATAGATAACAGTGACTATGTTTATCCAAAAATAAGTTTAGTCATTAATTGAAATATTTCTATGTGATTTCATAAACTTTGGGATGAAAGTAACTGTAAGCAAGAACTCATATGCCTTTTTGTTAGAGCAAAGATTCTGTTAATATTTGGGGTTTCATCTACTTAAAATGAATGGTTGAGTTTGGTTTTTTAAAATCTGTTCTGCTATTCTGCAGATAAAAAATCTGAGGTAAAATTCAGAGATATTTCCTGTCAGCTCTCTAACTGCTAGTGACAGATGATCCAATGTGAAGGGACAAATGAGATATTAAAACCTAAAACAAATTAAATCAAAGATGCACCAATATGCAAGTAAGGAAAAAAAAAAAAAAGAATTATAGTACCAGGGAGATAATGCAAAGAAAAGATGTGGGTTTTTTAAAGCTCCAGATCTTTCCAGGTGTGCTATAACAAGTTTTGTAAAGTATTTAGAACAAACAATCTTGTTTTAAAACTCAGTTGTGAAACCAAGGATTTTCAAAGTAACCAGTTTGACATGAACAAAAATTAGACCTGGTTCTTTACAGAGTTGTAATCAAGATAACTGTATTAAATTCAAGAACTTTGGGGAAAACTTGAAAAGCCTTACATCTTGCAGGTTATTTGCAATTAGTCCTTTGACTTTTGGTGGTTTCGAAGTGTACTCTGGTGGGCTCTCAGCTGCACATTACACACTTTCTGTGGCATGGAACAGCCCCTCTTCTTTTCATGCCTTTAGGACAGCACCTGTAAGTTGTAGTTTATAACAGACTCTCCTGAAAAAGCATGAGAAAGAAAACAGCCTTTCTCTGTGTGATGTGCTGCAGGCTGAAAGCAAACCACTGTTCTCAGTGCAGGCTTTATTTCATTGTAGTGAACTAATGACTAAATGATAATTAATGATCACTAAAGTGATTGGATGTGTACTTAGCATAAGGCCTTCATTCCATACCAACCACTTCTCAAACCTTACTCTAGGGCCCAAAAGCTGTAGAAAGTGCCAGCTGTGGAAAAGCTGTGAACTAATGGACAGATTAGTACTTCACAATATTATTTTTTCAAGTACAACACTGCCAGGAAACATTCAATCCACAAATACAAATGCCTGAGGTTTCTTGCATTCTTAACAGAATTGTTTATAGTTGGGTGAAAATTAAGTTGATCAGAGACTTGTGAACAAGTGTGTAACTGAGGTTAATTCATTTTACCTGGTTATGGTACTGCATCTCTCCAATTATAATACACAACAGACTTTTCATATCATCCACAAGACATTTATAGGTTGAATAAAGAGTTAGCAGATAAATGTACTCCAATCTTCCAGACACAAGCCCTTGATCAGAGTTAAAATTCCCAAGCATCTCCCTCTCTGACAGGTTTGATGGAGTAGCTGTAGAAAACAAATCAGTCAGAGAGGTAGAGGCACCTAAACTTAACCAGCAGGACAGGGCAGTGACACAACCACTGCAGCCTGCAGGATGGAGGGTTCCTTAGCTGCAGAAACACAAGCCATGGCAGTGGTGGGAGACTATTCATTGTCTCCCCTCACTTCCATGACCTGGGAAAAACCCCACAAAAGTCACAAGTCTGTTGGAATTTTGAAAACTTTAAGAAAACATTTGTCACAGTTGAACCCCCCTCAGCAAGCAACTCAGCCATACACGGCCACTCCCCTGCAATGGGACAGGGAAAAGAGCGGGAAAGGCCAAAGTGAGAAAGCCTGTGGGTTCAGATAAAGACAGTTTAACAGGTAAAGCAGAAACTCAAGCAAAGCCAAGCAAGGAATTCATTCCCTACTTCCTATGGGTAGGCAGGTGTGCAGCCATTTCCAGGAAAGCAGGGCTCCATCACATGAACAGTGACTTTGGATGTCAGACACCACAACTCAAATGTCCCACTCTCCTCCTCCTTTCCCCAGCTTGTATTGCTAAGTGCATCATCATCATCATGTGGGCTGGGGTATCCCTTGGGTCAGCTGGGATCAGCTGTCCTGGCTTTAGCCCCTCCCAAATCCTTGTGCTCCCCACTCACCACTGGGGCAGTGTCAAAGGCAGAAAAGGCCTTAACTCTGTGCAATAACCAAAACATCCCTGAGTTACCAACACTGTATTGATCACAAACCCAAATACAGCCCCATACCAGTTCCTTTGACTAAAATTAACTCTCTCCAAGCCAAAGCATTACACTCTCCCATTTCAGGGTAGTTGCAATATTTGATGTCAAGAGAAGGAAACATAGAAATTAACTCTCTATGAAAACATAGTGTTTCTTACCTTTAAAGTTTATCTTCAGCAGGCTGCACAAGAGAAGTAAATCAGCGAGAATTTAGGTGGTATCCAATTTGCACAGCAGACAGCAATAGGAAATTCAGCAGAATGAGGATGCCCTTTTGTATGTTTAATTAGACCCAATTATAATCCTCACATAGTGAAGGCATTTTTCCTAATGAAATTATTCTATCAACTTCATTTAACAATTACTGAAAAAAAGACGTGTAAATAGAACTTACACTGTCAGACAGTATTTACATGAAAACTACACAGTAAAGTATTTCCAGGTCGTGAAACTCACCTGTTAAATGCTTTGCCCAGAAGCAGAATGAAGAAATAGGTCATTGGTCTGGACATACTGACTAGACTAAAACTGTGTCAGTAGAAAATGTACTGAAATATTCTGAAGTCCTTTGAGAAGCTTTGAAAACCAGTTATTAGTCTAAAAGCATAATGAGATATCCCTACCCTAGTGTTTATCATCATGGAAAAATTATATAACATTTTTAGGTATTTTGGAGATCAGAAGAGCAATTTTCTACCAGTGGATTTTGGCCAGCTATGGGTATGGAAAAAAGGTGCTGGGCTTGGTCTTCTCTAGTGTTTTTTTAAACAGTCTTAGCATTTAAGGTTCAGTTACAGCCTTTGGATTTGCTTCTAGTCTGAAACCTTCCTTAGGACAGTACCTGTTCAGTAGTACTTACCCTCCTTTTGGTAACAGAGGTTAGCAAAACCTGCATTCACAGCTGGCTA